GATAATCTTATGGGAACCCAAAGAAAATATAGAATTATGATCAAGTCCTGACTGGAGTATTCTGTGAGGCTTGATCATCTCAGCCAGCAGTCTTGAGGCTGAGAAACTACAACAGAGGTACTTTGAAATGTTGGATCATCTGGGCCACCCATTCCCATTGGAGATTTTTCAGGGGGGGGGGTCTTCTTTGATAAAACCTTATTTTTCTTAAAGCAGAATGAATCCACAGCCTCTCATTTCCTGTGGAAACAAAAGCAAAACTTCTTCTCCAAAGTATCATATCTTTTGACTTTAAATTTTGAAGTCAAGGCATTTTCAAAATATATAGGTTGGATTAATACAGTGGCAGCAGCTGTTGCTCCTTCCTCCATAGTCAAACAATTCAAAAACACAGTAACACACAGTATCAAAATTCTCTGTGTACTTTCCATCTCTACATGGCTTTTTAAAACTCTATTTCTTTTACTTCTATTTTTAATTTTTGTTTTTTTGAGAGAGGGTTTCTTTGTGTATTTTTAGCTGTCCTAGATCTCACTCTGTAGACCAGGCTACCCTCAAAATCAGAGATCGACCTGCCTCTCCCTCCCAAGTGCTGGCATTAAAGGAGTGCACCACCACACCTGGCTACTCTATTTCTTTTTTCAAGGACTTTCTCTATCCTTTTTCTTTTCTTTCCCAAGCCTACATATATTTTTTAGACACACTATAAACCATAAAGATGCTTTTTTCTGTATGAATCTGTCTTTACCACATATCTCTATCTTTTTCTGAGTACAAGTCTTTAATCTGTTAAGCAGAATGGCTAGGACTAAAACTGCAGCTTTGGTGGCTGACTCCATCCCATTCCTTAGCTTCCTGGGAGACTAGCTTCAGGGTGGAGGAACAGGCAGGAGTCACATTTATTGCCACAACTCTTGAGAAAAGATGGTTACAAAGAAGATTCATTTGACTCTGTTCTTCTCTTGTCTAGAATCCTTTTTCCTTTTTTAAAAAAAATTCTCAGGCTTTATGTGGAAATTCTTGCCAAATGCTGGGCACAAATTATAGCAAGAATAATAAAAAAAAAACAGAGAAAAATATTGGGGTTAAAGCTGAAGATCAGAAAAGTAAAACAGCCAAGCCACTAGAGAAGTCTTACCTCTAGAAAGACTGGGTGACTGCAGACAGAGCCCTGATCTTCTGTCTCCTCCCATTTTATATTCTCCACTAGTGCTGGGATTAAAGACATGTGACTCACTAGGACTGAGATTAAAACTATGGGCCACCACCACCTAAATCTATTTTTGCATTGATGTTGAGTAGCCCAGGGTAGCCTTGAACCCACAGAGATCCCTACGCCTATTTCCCAAATCCTGGGATTAAAGGTGTGTGACACCACTGCCTGGCCTCTAGTGACTTAGTTTTACCTTCTGACCTTCAAGGTAAGCTTTATTTATTAACAAATAAATAAAATATTGCTGTTATTGAAACATCTTAAATGCCATATTCTGTAGAACTCTGAAGAGTTTGATAATGACCTGTCTGTCTAAAATATACCTTCGTTTGACCTTGAAAACATACCTAATTTAACTACAAATTCAATTATAATGGAGGCTTAACTACTAACCTGCATTTCCTTATTATCCTAAACTAAACAGTTGGAAACAATTTAAAAGGACTAGAAATTTGTATTACATTGTTAAATGAGTTGTATAGGTACAATAACTTGAATAAGAGTAGAAATGTATATACAGTATGCTCTAACAAAATTAATCTGAAGTTTTTATCAATATACAAAATTTATACAACATACAAGAGTCCAGACCAATGTAAAACATTTAAAACTAGCAAAAGCAGACTCAATAATCTACCTTTTTTTATCATATATCTATAACCTCTGTCTTTACTTTTCAGAGTAGATTCAATAATCTACCATTTTATCCTATCGCATCTGTGTCACTTCTTTTTAGAGTAGATTCAAAAATCTACCATTTTATCTTAGCATATCTATACCCCTTTTTTCTTTTCAAAACAAAAACCTTACATTTAATTTCTTTTGTGTTGATTTTTTTTCCTGGCTATAATCAATAACAACTTAACCAAACCCAGTCTCTGTGTAATGGGAAAGTACAAGGTTTGTCTCAAGTACTGGCTAGAGTAGTCTGTTAGGGTGGATCTACCTCAGCTAGACACCTCAAAATTGTTCTGAGAAGTTTGTAGTCCAAAGCCCATCTTTAGGTGGTGTTTTTCAGCCGAGTGATATTATAATACTCCTGAAGGAATTGTCAAAGTCATGGTTCACCGCAGAAAACTGATAGAGACCAAAACCCAAAATCATGTACAGGAAGGTAGATAAAACCTTTTTCTAGAATTAGCACTCTATATGACCATTAATTTCATTATATATATATATATATAATACATAATATATATATATATTACACCTTAAGAAAAGCTGTTAAAGAGTCAAAAACCAAAGGATTATGAGATTAGTGGCAATAAAAGTCCTTAAAGTTTTGTTTTTCCTCTGTCCCATATCAGGTGGCTCTTCTGACATGAGACAGAGATTTGATTTCACTTCAGAAAGCATGTTTGGGTTAAGAGAAGGAGAGCGCCACACTCCAATTCAAAGCCATCTTTAATCTTTAATTGGAGTAGGACTCGAAAAATATCATTTGTATTAATATGTCTATAGAAAATAGAAGAAGCAAATATTTTGGAAGACTTATGAAATTTTATTCTGTTTGGGAATGTGATATACCAATAGGCCAATTGACTCTTTTTCTTGAGAATTTTTTTTTTGGGGGGGGGGATGATTTGTCCTTTTTCTTTAGATGTCTCATTTGTCCAGTGTTCTTTGGGTTCCTTAATGGGATGCTTTTATCCTCCAGAAAAGACAGAAATAAAGCCCATTTACCAACCCTAATTTTCGGGAGGTTCTATTTTGACAAGTTATTTCTGATCAAATGAAAAGAATTTGTTAGATTTATAGGTCAATTTAGATAAAACAACCATGCTGATTGATAAAAAACAATTTGGATGCCAAGATTCTGATGAAATTATTGCTACATTCACACCTGTGTCTACCAGATCTTTTTAATTTTAGTATTTGTTCATTTATAGAAGTTTGTCAAAATATTTGCTTTATAGTCTTTGCTGAATTTTTTTGTTCCCTTTTCTATAGTTATTCTATTATCCAGAGCAATATGGTTTCTTACAATAGGCATTAGGTTCACTATTGCTCTGGAAAGGAGCTTCCTCTATTATGGCAGGAAATGACTGAACAAGATTTGGCATAGGGTACTGAAAAGAGACCCTCAACGGAGTTTCTGGATGGCAAAGGATTATACTGAAAATCCCTTGTTGATCCACATTCATTAGTCCAATGTCTGCCTTTGCCACAATTTCTGCGTAATACAGAAGGGGGTGTTCTGAATGGATTATGCTTGGAAAAAAATAGTTTTTAGGAACACCCTGTTTACAATCCCTGTTAAAGTGACCTTGTTTGCCATAATTGAAACAAAATCTGACATTTCGATTTTTCTTCAAACCTCTGAAAAATCACCTCTTACCACATCATCATGGTCATGAGATTCAACACTAATTGTATCTAGGATCAATTACTCCAAAGATGCTGACCTTGTCTTTAATGGCCTAATTATCCTTCTGCATTGAGAATTAGCATTCTCTCATATTTTTGGTTGTAAGACTAGCCTTTAATGGCTGAGACAACTCTCCAGCCCGAGAATTAGCAGTCTCAAAAGCCAGAGATTCAATCATTATTTGTCTACCTTCTGATTTTTGGTATCATTTTATTTATTACTGATGTCAATCTTTGTAAGAAATCCATGAAGGTTTGTTTCTTTTGGCCCCTGTATGACTTTAGTAAATGATTCAATCTTCTTTCCTACTTCTTCAATTCTGTCCCAAGCATTTAAAACTGCTGCATAGCATAAAGTCACAATGTGCACACGGTTCCCTTTATATCCACATTCTCACCAATACTGACTACTTCTTATTCCTTGGATTCTTAGCTACCCTAACCACATGAAGAACTAATAAATACTTTTATAAGTGACAGAAGTTACGCTGTTGTATTGATATGGCACCCAGATAGCTGCTTTCCTAATTCTCTTAATGTTAATGATTTTTTTGAGACAGGGTTTCTTAGTGTAGCTTTGGAGCCTGTCATGGAACTTGCTTTATTTATGTAATTTAATTTTATTTTTTTAAGGAACGTCCACTCCACCTTAATCCCAGCACTCAGGAGGCAGAGCAGGTGGATCTTTGTGAGTTTGAGGTCAGCCTGGTCTATGTAGTGAATTCCAGGACAGCCAGGGCTACACAAAGAAACCCTGTCTCAAAAAACCCAACAAAATCAAAGAACCTCTTTACTGTTTTGAGTTGTGGGTGCAATAATTTACATGCTTACCAAAAGTGCACACGGTTCCCTTTATATCCACATTCTCACCAATACTGACTACTTCTTATTCCTTGGATTCTTAGCTACCCTAACAGATATGAGGTAGAATCTCATTCATTATGTTTTTGATTTGCAGCTCCCTAACAAGTAGTGATGATGGGAAAATTTTCATACACCTATTTGCTGATTCTTAATTGCTCTATGAGAGAAAAAAGGTTAAAGAACAGACAACTAACTTACTAGTAGATTAGTCATATAAACATGCCTTCAATTTAAAGCTTAGGAAAACACAGTCTTAATGATTTCCACTCAGATTTCTGATTAGATTTCTTTCTGGGTGGTGGAAATGTTATTTGACATAAATAACGTTTATGGTTTTCAGAAATATTACCTTCTTTGTGGTGTTGTATTGATAAGTAATTAAGCATTCTTTCACTTATAATCATATAAAGTTTGTTAAATATCAATTTAGTCTCTGAAAATATATGAAGTACACACAGCCTTAATCAGAATCTCTTCTTCATTGTAGTAGTACAATTTCCTTGGTCCCTGTTGGCATTTGATTTGTTAGTTAACCTAATTATCTGAAAAGACATACCTTTGGCAGCATGGGGGTGTCCCTTTTCTTCTTCTTTTCTGAATTGGGATCATCTAATAGGTCTGGCTCAAAAGTATAAAGTTCAGTAAGCTCATTCATAGTAAAATGACGTTCAACCTGCTGTTGATCAACAACTCGAAAAGACAGTGACTGCTTTGTTACCTGTCGATCATAAATCTTATCTTCCATGGTTCCCTTTGTTTAAAAAACAAAGAAACAATACACAGATAAAAAAATTGGTCAACATAAAACTTATGGATAAATCTAGTTACACGTTAATTATGAAATGCTAAAATTTCACGGTCACATGTTGCCACAAAAAATCCCTAACAATGTTAGTCCATTCATGAAAGAATTCATCTATTCTAGGAAACTTACCGTCTTAATTTGTCATCAGGTTAATAAAATTTGACTATGAAGAGTTATTCTAAATTATCTGACCAAAATGGATTTGTGGCCTGCTTTGAGATAATTCTATACCTTGTGAAAGTCAGAGAGCAGGCAGATATCAGGATAAACAGAAATAGAAGGCACAAGAAATAAGAATTTAGATAGGTACTGAAATTAGAATACGAGAAACCAGATTTTTAATGTGATATGTAATAGGCTAACAATACGCAAAACGTCTTATAGTTCAAATATGGCTTTCTAAAATTCAAGATAAACTAATATACTGACATATACTATACATTACTTATAAACTAAAATACAAAGAAACTGTACACATGTCACACTGAAGAAGATCAAATAAATAAATATCTGCTAGTAAATATCAGGCTGCAACTGAGAGAAGCCCAGATTTGGGTTCAAGTGTAGAGTATATGTCCTACCTGCTCCTGAAACAGATGTGTCAGTTAAAAGGGCACCTTGACTCTACAGACACAAATGACCTTGAAATGCATCTATTTCTTGAATTTTGATGAATTTTATTAAATCTGAATTCTGAGGGGAGTTGATTTTGTTTTTAAACAGAGGTCTCACTATGTAACCAAGATTGTCATTGAAAGTGCCACCATCCTACCTACAGGTCCTATGTGCTGGGACCACAGCTGTGCAACACCACGTCTGGCTTCTGTCTGACCTAACTTGATATCAGTTTTATTTATAGAATATTTTCAAGTATGTCTCCTTCTAAGAGACCTACGCTGGGCATATCTAAAGTATTATCAGTTTCATCTGTATATGTTCTGCACCTCTAGATTATTAACATCAACTTCTTAGTATAAAAAGAATGCAAACAACAAACCTACCTGAGCTAAGAACCTATACACATAAACAGGCTTAGTTTGTCCAAAGCGATAAACTCTGAATATACTCTGGATGTCATAAGATGGATTCCAAGAAGCATCAAATATAATCACTCTATTAGCAGCTACCAGGTTAATTCCAAGAGACCCTGCTTTGGTGGAAATGATAAACAATCGCCCTCTAAAAATGAAAATGTAAAATAAATGCTTAGTTATTATGACTTTAATATTACAAAAGTACACATACACCGTATACTTTAATAAGAAAAATCAACTTCCCACAAAAAACAATTGTACTATTATATTAATTATAGTTATATTATTAATATTAAAGCCTACAATAATTTATAATTAAAGATGACTTAAAGATTAAGAGGGGCTGAAGGAGGGGATAGAATATGATCAAAATATAGTATGTATAAAATTGGCTTAACAAATAACAAGGTGAACCCAAAGAAAAAAACATATAAATCCTCCTGGAAATTGGAAGCAGGCAAAAACACCGGGAAAAAGTTGGGAGCATGAGGGTGGGGGTAGAGGTGGAAGGGGGGTTGGGAGAAGGGGAGAGGGGAGAGAGAAGGCAGAAGGGAAGAACTGGGGAGAGCTTCGGGGAATGGGATGGTTGAGATGGAGGAAGGGTGGATACAGGAGGAGGGAAGAAGAGATCTACATTAAGGGAGCCATTTTAGGGTTGGCAAGAGACTTGGCTCTAGAAGGGATCACAGGTGTCCACGGGGATGTCCCCAGCTAGGTCCTTGGGCAGCAGAGGAGAGGATGCCTGAACTGTCCTTGCCCCATAATCACACTGATGATTATTTCGAATATCACCATAGAATCTTTGTGCAGCGATGGAGATAGAGACAGAGACTCACATGGGAGCACTGGACTGAGCTCCCAAGGTCCAGTTGAAGAGCAGAAGGAGGGAGAAGATGAGCAAGAAAGTCAGGACCACCAGGGGTTGGTCCACCCACTGAGGCAGTGTGCCTGAGCTAATGGGAGCTCACTAAATCCAGCTGGACCAGGACTGAATGAGCATGTGATCAAACCAGACTCTCTGAATGTGGCTGACAATTGGGGTAGACTGAGAAGCTACTGATAAAGGCACTGGGACTTGTTTCTACTGCATGTACTGGCTTTTTGGGACCCTAGTCTATTTGGATGCACAACTTCTTAGGCCTGGATATGGGGGGGGGGGAGTTGGACTTCCCACAGGGCAGGGTTCCCTGTGGAAATTTTTGAATGGAAAAATTACAAATAAATAAATAAATAAATAAATAAAAATGGATAATAAATAAAATTGGCTTAAATAAAAAAGTTATCAATATACATATTAAAATTAGTTCTGCATCATTTATGATTGAAGAAAAGCAAAGTAAAAATCACTGCAGGACTGTTTCTCAGTCTTTTGGCAAAAATCAAGTATAGTGTCTGTTATCAGTTTAATATCCAATGTATCCTCTAACAAAAGAGAACATGTTATACGGATTTTTGGAGCTAAGAGATAGAATAGGAACAGTTTATGACCACTCCATGCATCGACCAAATATTGCAGTTCCTCCAGGAACAGTGCACCGCCTTTGGAGAACATGAATGAATGAATGAACAAACTAGATGTTGTAAAACATGAAAATACTAAGTTGCGAGGAGAATGTAGAATCGCAGTGCCATATACATTGTTAAAAGTACAAACCATAAAGTCACTGTGGAAAACTGACAATCTCATAGATAAAGATAAAATTAGCCAGGCAATGATGGTGCACTCCTTTAATCCCAACACTCAGGAGGCAGAGGCAGGTGGGTCTCTGTGAGTTCCAGGACAGCCTGGTCTTAAGAGCTAGTTCCAGGACAGCTAAGACTGTAGGCAGAGAAACGCTGTCTAAAAAAAAATTATCACAAAAAAAACAGAAATTACGATCCTTAGATTGCATCACACATAGGGAAAGAGCATTGAGGAAAAACTTATACAGGGATATTCATAATAGCTTTAATTCCAAAACCTGGGAAAAATTCAATGTCCCTGAGAAGGCAAGGCTACACACACTGTATATATCCCTATGATGACCTAGAATTTAAAAATAATCAGGAAATAAGCAAAAAAATCACAAATAGTTTTTTGAGACAAAATCTTACAATGTTGGCCTAGCTGCCTTGCAAATTGCTACATAGATGAGGCTGGCATTGAACCTACAAAGATTTACCTGTTTCTGTTTCCCAAATGCTGGAATTAAAGTATGTGCTACCATGTCTGGCACAAATAAATACATTTCAGTAAGTAAATGAAGTGAGACTCGTATTGCTACAATGTATAGGATTCCATAAACAAATTTTTGGAATGAAAAGTGTGATTGACCTGGTTTAGGCCTTAATTTCATCATTTGTTAAAAATGAGAGGATATATTAAAAATATAATTTTACTGAAACTACATTTAAAATATCTATACATGTAGAACAAGCACCATACCTCACATTAGTTTCATCATTAAATTCCTCGGCCCACTTTTTCCTTGACTGTGCAGTAGTAGAACCATCCAAGCGGTAATAGTCAATATTCCTGAGCCACTTCCCTTCACCTGAAAATGTAAACAGAAAACTCAAAAGAGGAATTTGATGTGTTACCCTACTAATATTAGTAGATTTTTTTCCTTGAGTATCACTTAAAAGGAAGATGGCCAAATTCTTGCTACAAAGCTTGGCCTGAATTTGATCCACCAGGTTGAAGGACAAAACTGAACTCAAATTGTTTTCTGACCTCCACTCACATCCCCACACATGCACACACTAAATAAGCATAATAAAAAAAAACTTTAAGTGGATGATAGGCCAGGCATAATACTATATGCCTATAATCCCAGCACTAGGAGGGCTAACGGAGAATTTCAAGTTCTGAATCTGAGAAGCTTCTGTAAAGCAAAGGACAACATCAAAAAGACGAAAAGGCAGCCTACAGAATGGAAAAAAATTTTCACCAACACTACATCACACAGGACTGATCTCCAAAACATATAGAGAACTCAAGAAAATAGACATCAAAATTCCAAATAACCCAATTAAAAAATGGGCTACAGATCTAAGAGAATTCTAACAGAAGAATCTCAAATGGCCGAAAGATACTTAAGAAAATGCTCAACATCCTTAGCTATCAGGTAAATGCAAATGAAAATGACTCTGAGATACTATCTTACACCAGTCAGAATGGCTAAGATCAAAAATAACAATGATAGCTTATGTTGAAGAGGATGCAGAGTAAGGGGAACACTTCTCCATTGCTGGTGGGAGGGCAAACTTGTACAGCCACTTTGGAAAACAGTATGGCGGTTTCCCAGAAAATTGGGACTCAACCTAACGCACAACCCAGCAATACCACATTTGGGCATATACCCAAAGGATGCTCAATCATACTATAAGGACATCTGCTCGACTATGTTCATAGCAGCATTACTCATAATAGCCAGAACCTGGAAACAGCCTAGATGCCCCTCAACCAAAGAATGGATGAAGAAAATGTAATACATTTAAACAATGGAGTACTACTCTTGAAATTTGTAGGCAAATGGATGGAACTAGAAAAACCATCCTCAGTGAAGTAACCCAGACCCAGAAAGAGGAGCATGGTATGTACTCACTTATAGAGGATATTAGACATAAAGCAAAGGATAACCAGCCTACAGTCCTTAACCCCAGAGAAGCTCGGTAACAAGGAGAACCCTATGAGAAACATATATGGATCGCCCTGGAAAGGGGAAACAGACAAGATCTCCTGAGAAAATTGGGACATGGGAATGGAGGAGGAAGGGAGGGTGGAAGGGGAGGAGGAAAGAAGAAGGAGAAGGGGAAGGATCAGTTGAGGAAATGGGATAGTAGAGATGGGGGAAGGACAGAGAGGGAGAACAAGGAAAAAGGTATCTTGATTGAGACATTATGGGGTTAGCAAGAAACCTGGCACGAGAGAAGTTCCCAGGAATCCACAAGGATGACCCCAGCTAAAATCCTAAGCAATAGAGAAGAGGGTACCAAACTGGCTGTGTCCTATAGTCAGATTGATGAATATCTTAAATGTCATCATAGAACCTTCATCCAGCAGCTGATGTAAACAGATACATGCTATGAGATAATGCTCTTGTACCCTGTAATGATTTGTCACTATTTAGGTTTAATAAAAGAATGATTGGCAAGTAGCCAGGGAGGAAATAAATATGGGGTGACCAGACTAGGAGAATTCTAGGAAGAGGAAAGGCTCAGTTTAGAGTCGCCACCTAGATGCAGAGGAAGCAAGATGAAAATGCTGCAGTGAGAAAAGATAGCAAGCCATGTAACTAATCATAGATAAGAATTATGGGCTAATTTAAGTTGTGAAACCTAGTTAATAATAAGCCTGAGCTAATAAGCCAAACAGTTTATAATCAATATAAGCCTCTGTGTGTTTCTTTGGGACTGAACTTGTGGCACCAGGAGGGAAAGAAATTTTTGTTTACAGATGCAGAGATCGACAGCAGGTTCCCCTGCTGTCAGGCTGGAATTGCTGAACTCCCATTAACTCACTTAAGCTATTTCAGTAGGCATCTGTATCATGGTATTGATCCCTTTATGCATATTACTGCTCCTCTCTCTCTTTAATTGAACTTTGGTAGTTTAGCAACTCCAGCCCGACAGCAGGGGAACCTGCATAGGACCAAACCAGGCCCTCTGAATGTAGGGTACAGTTGTTTGGCTTGGGCAGTTTGTGGGGCCACTGGTAGTGGGACCAGGATTTATCCCTACTGCTTATACAGGTTTTTGGAACCCATTCTCTTTATATGAATACCTTGCTCGGCCTAGATATAGTGGAAAGGGCCTTAGCCCTGCCTCAAAGCAATGTGCTATTTGCTAACTCTCCATGGGAAGCCTTACTCTCTCTGAGGAATGGATGGGAGTTGGAGTTGGGGGGAAGGTAGAGGGAGTAGGAGGAGGGGAGGGAATAGAAACTGGGATTGGTATGTAAAATGAGAAAATATCTTTTTTTAAAAAAATAAATACATAAACTTTAAAAAAATTAAATGGATGGTAGAGCAGGCATAATAGTACATGCTTATAATCCCAGCACTAGGAAAACTGATGGAGAATTTCAAGTCCAGGTCAGGCTAGTACTCCATAACTAGACATTCTCAAAATGTCAAAATAAGATAAAAAAAGATATAGCTAAGTTGGCAAAGTGCATGAAGCCCTGGATTCTCAGTACAAAAGAAAACCAGATGTGGTAGAGAGTAAATGCATACAATTCCAGCACCACTTGGGAGGTAGAGGCAAGAGGACGAGAACTTCAAGGCCAGGCTCAGATAAGAGTGAATTCGAGACTATATATTTAGAAACAGAAACAAACTGGGTTAATGGCTCATGGCCGGCTGTGCAAATATGAGGATCTGAGTTCTGATCCCTAGCACCCAGGCAAAAGCTGGGCATGGTGATGGGCTCCTGATGCTAAGGGCTTACTGGCCAGTCAGCCTAGCTGGATTTGTGAGCTCCAGTCAGTGAGAGACTATGTTTCAAAAAAAAAATAAGAAAGAGTGACTGAGGAAGATACCTGAGGCTGACTCTGATCCTCAGAGGCACTTGTGTACAGGCACACATATACACACAAAAACCAAACAAGAAGGTAGGTTATATTATTGAACAGATGAGCAGTATACTCTTCTAGCATGTACAAAGCCCCAAGGTCCCATCCTCAGAAAACAGAAATGAGTTTATCTCTTCTTATTGTACAAAATATATCCTTCCCCCCTTTCCAGTGTTGTATTGAGACAGGATTTCACCCCATAGCCAAGACTGCCAACACAATCCTTCTTGTCTCTGCCTTCCTAGTGCCAGAATTATAGTACTGTCATTACGTCTAGCAGAAAGACGGTCCTTTCCAAAACAAAAGATAATTAATTACATCATGAATAAATTCACCACACTGGCTCTGGTGGCTCATGCCTGTAAATCCTAGTATCTTGCTCAAACAAGAGGTAGAAAATACCTGAGAAATATCAGCCACTACCCTCACTGGCCTGGAACTTTAGGTTAGTACCTAAAACTCTCAAGATTCTGGAGTTCTCTGACTTTGGACATTTTGCACAGACAGCTAGATTATAATTTCTAATCTGAATCTGATACTCAAAATTAAAACCTATAGTATTCCAAATTCCGATACTTAAAAAACTTCAGATTCCCAAACACTTTTTAATTTGCAACTAGGGTTCTATGTGTTTGATCAAGCACTACCATGATTTACTGTGGTGTTCCTTAAATCTAACGTACACAATACACAGTGCCAATCCTAGGAGTAGTAAAAATAGGAGTAGTAAAAATAGTCACTTAAAAAACTCCATTGGTAGTTGTAACCAATGCTTGCAAAGACAAATTATAAAATTAGAAATAAATTGAGCCAGGCAGTGGTGATACATGCAGCACTCAGGAGACACAGGAAGGTGAATCTCTCTGAGTTTGAGGCCAGTCTGGTCTACAGAGCTAGTTTCAGGTCATCCAGGGTTAGAAAAACTCGCCCCAAACTCGATGATAAAAAAAAAGGAACCAATTGAAAAGCGTATTAAAAAAACAAAAATAGGTCAACTTTACTAGTGATCAGAAAAAAATATAAATTAGCCTAACAAAGAAACACCCCAAAACAAAGTCAAGGACTTTGAGTAAAAATGGTGATTTACAAGCTGTCTCTGAAATACAAGAATCAGAGTAACTGCCAGGTGGTTGTGGTGCACACCTTTAATCCCAGCACTTGTGAGGCAGAGGCAGGAGGATCTCTGTGAGTTCAACACCGGTCTGGTCTACAGAGTGAATTACAAGACAGTCAGATCTATTATACAAAGAATTCCTGTCAGAAAATTAAAAAAAAGAATCAGAATAACCAAGGGCTTTATTCTGAAGAGAGAAAGGAGGGAAAGCATGAGGAAACATGACAAAGTAGACAGGACCGTTGAAAGGCATAGAGAAAGAGAAAGGTTACAAACACAACCATGGGAAGCAACCTAAGCCCACACACAGCTCAGCCTCCAAGGTCTGATTACCTACTATGTGTTGGTTTTTGTTTCTTGTGGTCCTGGAGCTGAAACTTGCTTTGTACATCCAAGTTGCATGCTCTATCACTGAGCTACATCCCCAGACTCTTCAATAAGTTTAAAAAGAATTGCCCTATAGAACTATGACAGCCTACAATCCCATTCAAAATATTAGAAAATTCGTGTTTAAATATACAAAAACTCAAAATGGTCAAAACATCACCGTTTACAATAGCCCAAAGGTGAAAACATACCCAGTATCAATGAATGACTGATGAAAATGTGAAATGAGGCAGACAGTGGGATGATGGGGGATTTCCCTCTGTATGCTATGATTACCATTAATGAACAAAGAAACTGCTTTGGACCGATAATAGGGCAGAACTTAGGTAGGCAGAGAAGACAGAACTGAATGCTGGGAGAGAAGGGCGGAAAGAGAGATGCCATGGAGCCGCCACCAGAGTCAGACATGCTGAAACTTTGCCGGTAAGCCACTGCCATGTGGCGATATGCAGATTAATAAAAGAGTTAAATTAATATAAAAGTTAACCAATAAGAAGCTAGAGCTAATGGGCCAAGCAGTGATTTAATTAATATGGTTTCTATGTAACTATTTTGGTTCTGGGCAGCCAAGACAAACAAGCGGCCTCATCCAACAGTGGGATAATAGATCATACACAAAGTATAACTTAATAACACCTGCCACAAAAAGAAAAACATTGAATTTAGCTCACAAAGTGAAAGAAGCTAATAATGAAACATTGTATTAGCATATTAGATTTTTGATAAATGGATTTTAGCAAATCTTGGCACAAAAGAATAAAAACAGAAAAATACATTAATATAATTCAGTGTAGTAGTCATTTTACTATTTGTATCCCATAAACATCATACCTTAAATATACAAAAGAAATATTTAAATGAACAAAATAAAATAAAACAAAACAAGCAAGCATAATAACGAATGCTGTGATGCACTCAAGCACAAAGCTGAGGCCAGAAGATCATGAGTTTGGGGCCAGCCTAGTTAAACATCAAGAACCTGTTTTAAAACAGGAGATGAAAGGGGAAGAAACAGAGATGATACATAGATGTCTGTGAATAAACACAAGGAGAAAATACAAGCTAATTCTGAATATCAGGGTTGTGAAAAATTGCATAGTCTGGTTTCCTTTATCCTTAAAATGTTTATATATGCTCAAGTGAGTGTTTAAAAGCTTATAATAATGTAGGCATGCTTATAACTTACCTTTATAGATAAGAGGTTTATCTTTATCTTCTGTTTTCTCCCTACTAGCCAATTCGAGAAAATCTTCAATCAAGTCCAAAGATATGAGTGACTGGCTAAAAACAAGACTTAAAAAAAAAAGACTAGTGTTCATGGATTACAAGATCAATCCAGTAATTATTTCTCCTAATTAAGTATTAATTTAACACAAAATCTTATAATTAAAATCTAAAAGGTTCAGCAAGATATACATTGAAAAAATTAAAAAGCTGACTGTAAGATTTGTATGAGTGTTAGGCACAAGACAAACAAAAAAAAAAACAACTGAAAAGGTAACTCAGCTCTAAATCACCAAAAGGCAGGAGAATATCAATGGAACAGAGCCTATCTGGACACAAACATAGTAACAGTTTGGTTGTCTCAGTTGTCTTCCCCAGAATCAAACACTCTACTGAATCAATTAATTCTGAACTACAAACTAAGTTCTTGATGGAACCGAAGTTCCTAGAAATGCTATTTAATTGCTATTAATATAGAATTTGAACAATTATTCCAGACAAGAAGTCAGCCTGAACCAATAAGCAAGTAAGACTAGTCTGGGAATCACTGAGCTAAGACCCACGCAAAGAACTTAAGAATCACTAGGAACAATTGTCAAAATACTAATAACTGTTTCCTAGCTGCAAATAACAAAGAAAAGTTGATATCTGATTGACAAAAAAAATGTTTATACTTACACAAGACATTTTGGTTTTACCTACTTTATTAGCATTTCATATGAAAATATAAAGAGCAGTGGGGTGGTGGTTGCACGCACCTTCAATCCCAGCACTTAAACCACAGAAATTGATAACAGGAAAACATATCTGTAGTGTCATTTCTTCTCCTGTACAAACTCTAAACTCAAGTATCTACTTCCTACTTTTCATCTTTCATGAATAACAAAAATTATTCAAACTTAGCATGGCTGAAAAAAAAATTCTTTATTTCTTCTAATGTACTTGTTTAGTCTATAGCCGTCTTTATTTTAGTAAATAATACCATAATCCACCAGTCATCTAAATTGCAGATCTAGTAGTCATCTTAGATTATTTCTTGCCCATATTTAATCTATCAATTCCTATTGTTTCTAAACCAAAACATAACGTTTACCAATTAATCCCAGGACCTGGGAAGCGAAGGCAGAAAGATTATTGAGTTTAAGACCACCCTGAACTATACAGTAAAAACCCTGAAGCACTGAAGAAAAAACTTGATTATGTACTCAGAAACACAGTTTATACTTTCATTACATTGTAATAATAATAAAATATACTTTACATGAGAAGAAAACACTAGATTTATTTAAATAAGCTTTATAAACAATAGTAAGTATACTAAAAAGTTCATTTACATAATAGATATATGAAAAAGCTTACACTTTATCCCCAATTTCTTCTGCCATTCGAAGAATTTCAAAAAGAAGTACCATTTTTCCAGAATGCTCTAAAACCTCAGCATCAGCATCTGTAACAAAATCTTTGTACCAATCTGGAGCTGGACTACTTGGATTAGAAGTGGAAGTAGTTTTACCTAAATAAAATAAATAGAACATAAGTAAGTATATTAATCAGGAAAAAAAACTGAATGAGACCAAAAGGAGCAAAATAAGCCAGAGTAAGAAGGGTTAAGGGACTGATGAATATTTGGTACAGGGACAGACAGATGACCACGAAGGCCAACACAAGAGAAAGCTCTACACTGAGGAAAGGGCATTGAATTGGAAGAGATGAAGGTTGGAGATATGCAAGGTGGTAGCAAGCAAAAGATGGATTCTGACAGAATTCAAGAAGACAGATGCTACAAGCAGGGTTGAGGAGGTCAGAACGAGATTATAAGAGGTGGAAATCCCACAGACCATAAAAAACTAAAACCCTGAAAATATACTATGAAAGACACGAAACAACAGAGACAGAGAGAACAAGGAAGAAAATCTCTTCCCCGTGCTAGTAAACCCAAACAGTGACCTGAGAAATCATCCACTCACACTAAACCATTGTGTTTTTAGTTTAAAAGAAAATTTGGCCATAAAAGAAACAAGAAGAAAGTATAGGAAATAATCTGCTAGATAATTTAAATGTAATTAGAATCAAAATAAAAATATTAGGTTAACATGCTTCTACACTTTCAACTCTGTTGCAAAGTATTTTAAATCTTAATGATATAAAAAGCATAGAGCACAGTGAACTGTGTTTCATATCTAATCTTCATCAATATTTTAACTGTACTTAGTACAGATGAGTCTAAGATATAGTTCATTTTCGCTACTTTTTCTAAGACCGAACGAATCCTCTACTTTCTATATATCTGTCATTTCTGTTCTACTCCAAGTATAGCCCTAAACTGTGCATCATCTTGGTTGGCATTTTAAGCTGTGGACAAATAGTACCATCCTGCTTGTATCGTTCTGCAAATTATTGCTCAATGTGGTTTCTCATGCGAAATGTAGTTATTCGTGTGTGTCATTTAGCTTTTTGATTCAGTCACACTAACTGCCATGTAGTATGCAACTACATGATTATGTAATCTGTTATTAATGTTCTGTCTGTAAGATAAAATGTTTCTCTATGAAAGCAAAAGGAATGTTCAATGCTGAGGCTATATTTTCTCATATACCATGCATTTTATACCACAAAGTTACACAATGATTCCTACAACAGTGCAACATACCAACTTTATAGAGTCTTTAGCCAGTATTTACAGAATCTTATTTTCTTGAGAATCTGGCTATGCTGTTTGTTTTGTGATCTCACTTTCCCCAGGCTGCTTATTAGCAATTTTAGTCATAAAATTTTCCTAAGGTTAATATTTCTAGTATTCTATTATTTTCTTTTTAAAATTCAAAAATGTGCCAGTCAGTGGTAGCACACACCTTTAATCCCAGCACTCAGGAGGCAGAGGCAGGCGGATCTCCGTGACTTGTGGGCCAGCCTGCTCTACAAGAGCTAGTTCCAGGACAGGCTCCAAAGCTACAGACAAACCCTGTCTCATAAAACAAAAGAAAAATTTTAAGTGTACTTATTGTGTTTGACATAGGGGGACTCATCTGTGGGGGTGAGGGGCCAACTGTGTGAAGTCCATTCTCTCCTTCCACCTTTATGTGGGTTTCTGGTATCAAACTCAAGTCTGCAAGCTTATACTATCTGGTCAACCATGTTTTAAAAATATTTCTATTTTGCTTTTATCAATTATACATGTGTGCAATTTGAATACTGACCACTCCTCACCTCCAACTTCCAACCAGTTCTGCACACCATTTAACCTCCCTTCTAGTCTCTCTATTAAAGAGATTTGTGTGTTCATTTTCTTCTGTGACACACAAGATAAACCAGGGCCATCTGTGTAAAATGTGAGTTTGGAGCTATCAATTGGAAGGTGGTGGCAACAGCAGAGGATATATGACTAAGACAGTCATTTATTTACCCCTTGTCAGAAGCTAATGACTGCCAATAGTTGAGAGATAAAGAGTGACCCTGTGATCCCTCTCCTATTTCCTTGACTGAATGTTGAAAGAGCTGGTCTGGTGTGGGCTCACTTACAGTTCATATGAGTTAATGTAACAGTTAGTGGTGCTCCATTGCTCTTCACCTTTAGCTTCCCACTATTACATAGGTCCAGATCCCTGAAACTACTGGCCTGTGGTTAGTCTGGGAACATGAATGGTAAACTGTCCTCTTCGCTAACATGAAAACATGGCTTGGTAACCACAACTCATCGCACACAGGTAATTTGGGGGAAAGAAAAACAATGTGGCTTATTCTGAGCACTCTTTGTGGGAGTCTAGAATTTGGAGTCACCACGTGCTTAGTAACCAGCCCCCAATAAAAACACTTTAACAAGGAATCTCTAATAGGCGTCTCTAGTAAACAATACTTTGTACATGTAGTAATTGAGTGCTAAAGAAGAACACTCTAGAAGACTCCAAAGAGTGCACTTGTTTGAAAGAAAATGGCCCATAAAGTGAGTGGCACTATTAGGAGGTGTGGCCTTATTGGAGGAAGTGTGTGTCACTGCAGAGGCAGACTTTAACGTCTGTTTTGCTTAAAGTTCCCTCACTTTGACTTGGCAGTTGACTTCCAGTGAACTGCAAGATGTAGGACTCTCAGCAGATGTAGTCTGCCTGCACACTGCCGTGCTCCCCTTTATGACAGAACTCTGAAACTAAGTAAGCTACAACAATTAAATGTTTTCTTTATAAGAGTTGTCATAGTCATGGTGTCTCTTCATAGCAACAGAAACACAAACTAAGTTTTGGAGTGATGTTTAGAAGTTTCCTTTGGACTTTACTCCATGACTTTTTCTCTTTGTAGACCTTGTGTTATAATAAACCACAGTACTGAATATGACTATCCCCTGAATTTTTTGATACGTTCTAGTCAATCAATGAGCTTGGACACAGTCTTGAGGACCTTGGAACATAACTTATTAAACAAATGTGAACACTTTTTATAATCAGTCACATAGCAAACAGTCAATGATTCTGGAGAACAGTGCACTAAAATAATTTTAATATGAAATCATCAGAACACAAAAAATGCTAGCAGAAAGTAAAAATGTGAAGCTATATAGAAAGAAATTATAATTTCCAAGCAAACAGAACAAATTCCACTCTTTTTTGTGTGGGTAACTGAGGATCAAACCCAGGTAATCCTGAATGATAAACATGTGAACTACCATTGAACCATGACTTTAGCCCTTCCATTCTAATTTTGCTCCTACTAAATATAATAATAGTCTATTATCTTAGCTGGTAGAATGCTTTTCTAGCATACATGAACCCCTGGACACCATCCTCAGCACTGCAAAAATAAAGTATCATGGCATATATCTATAAGCCTAACACTCTGAAGATAGATATAAAAGAACAGAAGTCCAAGATCATACTCAGATACATATCAACAACCTGGACCCTTTCTCTAAAATAAATAATATAGAAACCTATGGGCTACTCTAAGTAATAGATATTCTGGCTTGGCATGGTAGACCATGTCTCTAATCCCAGTAGCAGGGAGGCTAAGTAAGGATAATTTCAAGTTCAAGGCAAGTCTCTGTTAGATTGCAAGTTCCAAGCCAGCATAAACTACACAGAACTTATGTCTCAAAAACAAACAAATCCTTAGCAATATATAAAATTAAAACTCATAAACAAGTACGTCACACTGATTTTTCTTATTTCACCATCCACATAATTTAGTTATAACTTCTGTTATAACTCTGTGCTGTGTAAAGATGCATGACATGTTATCGGGAACTGAATGAATTCAGAACTATTTTATATATGTTCTAGATCCTCGAAGAATCATAGAAGGCACAGAATATGATGTGTTAAAAAGCAATACACTTATTCAAAACTTCTTGATGCCTTCTAAACATATTTAAATAAATGGACTACTGTTGTATATGGAATAATCGTTCACTGTACATTTTAAAGGGGAAAAACCATTAACATGTCGGCAAAACACCTATACACACAAAATAAATAATAGAGGTAAGAAGGGAAAGGGGAGAGACAGACAGACAATTAAAGTGTATGTAGGGGGGAGAAAAGCAGCAGCAGCATAGTTCTATGGTCTGGAATATGGTTTTCCCCCTCACTAAAACTCATTTTAAATTCTGATTCCCAAGAGATGGTTAGGTTGTTAAGGCAGATGAATAAACCAGAATAATGTAATGGTGAACACCGATAAAACTGAGGAGGCTAAGGCAGGAAGATCATGAGTTTGAGGCCAAGAAAACCCTATCTCAGAAAATAAATGAATGAATGAATGAATGAATGAATGAATAAATAAATAAATGAGGAATTAAAGGAGGGAGTCATCTTGTGAGAATTATTATAATTCCTTTTGTGTTTTATTTTCTCCTTGAGTGCCCATTTGGTCTCTTATTTTCTACAAGGTGAACAGCCTAAGACTCTCACTACATACATGCAAACATGGGATGTTCAGCCTCTAGAATTGTGAGCCCTAATAGAACTTTTTCCTTTACAAACTATACAAACACTTGGATAAAAACAATATAGTATATTCTTAAATGAAGATCATTTAAATCTAAAGAACAAAGTTGTATTTTACCATCTATCCTAGAGAACGCTTATGAATATATATATATATATATATGCTACAAAATATATCTACAAATAAGTAACTTCTACTTAACTTCACACAGACATTAAAAAACAAAAGCATTCAAAACTTGTCTTTTGGAACTCATAACTTTTCCTGCTTTCTTTCAAGGACACACCATACTGCCTTCTACACCCTGCTCCAGTGTCCAAGTCCTTCACATTAGAGCATACATAAAAAGAAGAGATACTTCAGAAAACATACCAGAAAAAAAGAATGGAAGCAGCTAAACATTTTTAAAAGCAATCCAGCCACACATACCACTTGTACTTCTTGGTGATAAAAGGAACGTTGGCCAACTTTTAAAGTTAACATCTTATTCCTTGAGAATTTCATACGTGCATCAAGTCTATCGCCATTGCCTCCCCGCTTCAATTCTCCCACCCCTCTGACTTCCATGTTACTTATTTACAGCACTGAACAATTCTTTCTCTTTTCAGCCAAAACAGAAAAAAGAAATTCAGAAACCATATTTCCATACAATTATTTCCAGGAACACACATATAGAGAGAGACTGCAGAACTATAAGCAGAAAGGGGGGAGAAGAAAGCACAGAAGGAGACAGAAGCAGCTTTCCAATGCATTAACTCTATAAGAACAGGTTTTGCTGTTTTAATGAAAATATTCTTTTAATTCTATTAGGAAGATGAATGCTGATAAAGCTGCTTTAAGAGATGGAGTAGCTAGAGAGAAGAAAAAAAGGGAAATTTTGTAGTTTAAATCTCATGACTCCCCTGATTTGGAGAATCCAGGGTTTGTGGTTAGGCTGCCACCTGTCTATTCCACAGAGGTACTGAAAAGAGAAGCGTTTATAGAGGAGTCACTGAGTTAGTCAGCTGCAGACCTTTGCTCACTCAAGCTTATCTGATCACAAGATCATCCAGCTGTCACCCACACTGCTTTCCTCCTCACTGATACTTAACTACTGGGCTCTAGAGCTTCCCAATGCCAAATATTTAGAGCCATTTACAAGTGCAGTATTTTAAATAATCTGATATTTGGTCCAGGCTTCAAAACTCCTACAGAGAACATAGAAAGGCTAAACACTAATTCTTCAGCATATACAAGGGGAGAAGAGCTGAACCCACTGGACAGTAAACTCTAAGACTTTTTTACTTTCATATAAGAGAGAAAAACAGCAAAATAAAAAGCACATGTTGTAGAGGAAACCAAAGCAGGTAATTATAGACTATGAAGAATTTGAAAGAAAAAAACCTAAATGATTAAAATTCATTCTAATATATACAATTCATTACCTGAAATGCTTCCAGATTTCCTATGTAGTTAAGTGGAAATCCTTGCGATTAGACATATTTGGGCCTGAATGGTAGTTCTACAATTCATTTATAAACCTAAATTTACCAATGACATTGCAGTATCACTAAAGAACTGTTAGTTACACACAGAATCAGAATAATTGAGTGCAGGTTTATAAAATCAACTTAACAAATGCCTTTCCTTTTGTCCTCCCTCCAAAATACCAGACGGAAAAAAATGAATTGCCTACAACTAAACATTAGTTGGAAATTGTTGCAACTCTGTGCCCTCTTTCATTTTAGGTTCTTAATAACCTAAGCAAAGAAATTCCTTTGCATCAACATTAGGATAACAAAGGACAAAAAAAGCACTAATGACCTAACATGGTCTAAGTCAAGGTTCCGCAAGAAAGGCAACATTCATTACACTCACTTTCCTCTAGCTTCACAGAACCTGAGGGGTTGTTTCCTGTTTCGTCCACATTTCCTTCTCCACCCCCTCTAGATCTTGAATTCCAGACTTTGATGACTTCAACATCATTGTCACTACCACTTCCACTTGAGCTACTATCCTTTTTCCCTTTTTTACCCTTTGTTTTCTTCTTCCTGAAACAAAAAGAAAGAAAATTTCATGTTAAGAAAGCATATTAAAGCTATAAAGTCAATTCTTAGCAGACAACCACAAGTATGGGGTTTTGAATATATCAGCATAGATAACAAAGTACTCAATTTACTTTGCATACTCATCTGAGCTTAAGCTCATGGAGGTTTCATCAGAATCTGAAGCTATAAATTCACCCATACTATCTTCATCAAAATAACCCTAAACAAAAAAAGACATATGTTAGTAGCCCATTTCAGAATATATTGGAAATTCAAGCATTTCATTTCACTTAAATTAACCAACATCAATAAATAAGGACTAAGGAACTATTGAAGATGGGAAGAAACAATGGCTTTTTAACGGGATTGTACAAAAGAAGGTCCTCTATGGGATGATCAAAAAAAAAAGGCACTAGAAACATGAAGAAACGAAGTTTGTTGTTTTGTAGCACAGTTAATTTCTTAGCTCAGATAAATTACTATAGCTATACAAGATATTAAAATTAGGAGAAACTGGAATAATTTCTAATCTTTCAATAAATATAAAATTATTCCAAACTTAAAAAAAAAGAATTAAGACAAGCCTCAGCCAAAGCTGGCCTCACAATGCTTGATCTAACTACCTCAGCCTTCCAAGTGCTGAGAGTACAAATGTGTGTCAACATACCCAGCAAGGCTTTTGTTTGTTTGTCGTGTGGAGACAGGGTTTGCTGTACTATGGGCTCCCTATATATCCAAGATGACTATGACATTCAGATCATCCTACTTCCACTTGCTAGGTGCTGGGACTAGAGATGCATGCTACTTTGCCTGGTTCTCAACATCCATGGGTATTATGCATGCTAGACACTCTACCTATTGAACTACTTTCCCAGTCTAATTTTTTGCATTTTTTCCAGTGTATGTGTGTGTGCGCGTGCGCATTCACGCATGCACGTGCACTCATGCAAGCACATGTTGTCAATAGGGATCAAAACTAAGGACCCTGTGCTTAATAGCCAAGTATTCAAGTAGTAAGATATGCCTCTACCCCTCTAAAAAAAAGTTAAAAGGGCTCAATACAAAAACTTTTAGGACTGGGACTATAACCCCATTGGGTTCAAAACCAACACATAAACATTTAATGATTCTATAAGTATAATGAATTCAAAACATAGAAATAAGTTAGGCATGGTAGCCACAAGTTGGAGGCTAAAGTGGACTACACATTGAGTTTCAGGTCATCCAGTGATATAGAGTAAGACCCTTTCTCTTTGGCAATAAAAAGAAATAAAAGTGAACTAAAAGTAAAAGAGGCTGAATTAATGAAACAGAAAGTTGCTTCAGAGAGAGAGAATGTAAAAAATAACATTTAAATAATTTGAGGTACTTAATTTACCTTATTTTCTTTGCTAATGTAGTCCAGCTGCAAACACCAAGGATGAGTCCAAATTCTACTTAACATCTGAAAGTCTTGAAAGAGCTTTGCACCTGCCTTTCCTCTTCCACCTTCAGTGCTATTACCTACACCTAACAAAAAGAAACAACAGTTGAAGACACAAGAATTCTCCATTTCCACCATGGTGGTTCTATACTAGGTCTCATACATGCTCAAGCCACACCCAGTATCTCACTTCACTTCCTAGATAAAGATGTAGCTCCTTCTCTACTCAGCTCCTTCTCCAGCACATGTCTGCCTGCAAGCACCATGTTCTGTCATGATGGTATAAGACTAACCTCTCAAACTGTAGAACACCCAATTAAATGTTTTTCTATTTTTCTTTTTTTTTTTTTTGACAGCTGTAATGGTCATGATGTCTCTTCACAGCAATAGAAATCCTAACTAAGACAGAAGTGACAAAGATGGAGAGCAAGGAAAGAAATATTTTGATTGAGGGAGTCATTATGGGGCTAGCAAGAAGCCTGGGCCAACTGGTCTTGCCCTGTGATCAGGTTGATGACTATAGAACTTTCATTCAGCAACTGATGGAAACAGAGGCAGAGACCTGCAGTGGAGCATTGGGCTGAGCTCCCAAAGTCCAGCTGAAGAGTGGGAGGAGCAAGAATATGAACAAAGAGGTCAAGAGTATGGTGGGTATATCCACTGAAACAGTCTACCTGAGCTAATGGGAAGGAACCAGCTTAGAACCAAACTAGACCCTCTAAATGTGGGTGACAATGATAAGGCTGGGGCAGACTGCGGGGCCACTGGCAATGGCACCAGGATTTATCTCTACTGCTTGTACTGGCTTTTTTGGACCATTCTCTTTGCTCAGCCTAGATACAGTAGGGAGGGCCTTTAACCTTCCCCCAAAGGAATGTGCCTTACCTTCTCTGAGGAGTGGATGGGGGAATGGAGAAGGGAATGGGAGGGAGTGGGAACTGGGATTGATATGTAAAATGAAAAAAGATAGTTTGTTTTCTTTAAAATAATAGAATTAAAAAAGAAAAAGAACAGAAGTGATAAAATACAGGAATTAAAATATCTAAAATTTTGAAAAGTTTATTACTATAATATCAGTAGAAATAGCAAATAAAAAGTTCTGATTTTAGTCACAACAAAGTCATAACTACTAACACAAACTATAATCTTTTATCAGTCCCATAAAGGGGGGCTCACTGCAATTTTAATTAAAAAGGTCACTAAAAATACATACTTTCCCTTATATTTTTCAAATGTCCTAAATTGTATTCATGGCCCCTTTATCTATTACAGATAGATAAAGTGTTGCTCCATACAGATAGGCCTCCAGCAATTCTTTCCAACTATGACAACTCAAAAAGGCTTCTTTCAAAAATTATGTTGAACAAAATATAAATGAGGGTAGGAGAGGAAAATATTCTAGGTAAAGACAGACAAATAATAGTGCTCTTACTACTATGGGAGGGAAAAAAATCAAAGATTTTCTGAAATCCACAGAAATACAGAATAATTGGGAGAGGCAAAGGTCTGGGGAAAATGAAGGGATGGAGGGCAACAGGTATAAAATTTCAATCACATATGATAATGTTCTACAGACATAATAATAAGCATAAGGACTATAATGTATTGTATACTATAAACTGCTAAGAGTGTATTTTAGGTATTATTTCTATATACAAAATGTATGAGAAAAAAAACAGGCATGCTTGATCAGCTATATTAATTTTCTTGCTATGTAGATGTATACATTAAGCGTGTCTTAAGTGTAGTTCATAATGTTGCTCATTTAAGTCCAATGATGATCTGCTTAGCTATTCTAGGAATCACTAACAGCCTTTTGTGTTTCTTGGCCATATTGGTGGAAGAAGAAAAGTAATGAGGGCATTAAAAATGGGGAAACTTGGGGCCAATGTGGGGCTAGGAAAGGCACATGTTAGTAAGCCTAAACTTGATCCCCAGAACCCACATAAGGTAGCAGAGAACTGAACATTACAGGCTGTGGTCTAACCTGCACATGAGTGCCATGTTCCAAGTGTGTACACATACACTTAAAAAATAAATGTAATAAAAAAAATGAAAAATTGGATGTGGCAGTGCACACCTTTAATCACAGCACTCAGGAAGCAGAATCAAGTTGGGGGCCAATCTGGTCTACATGGTAAGCGTCAGGGTAACAGGAGAATCTGAAAACAGAACTGAAAAGGAATATGGTAGCACAAGCCTATGATCTCAGCATTTGGGACACAGAGTCAAGTGAATCATAAATTTAAAGACATTCCTAGCTAGACAGAAACTTTGAGGCCGGCTTGGATGGTGGTGGCAAAAGCCTCTAATCCCAACACTTGGGGGGGCTGAGGCTGCCAGATCTCTGTTGAGTTCCAAGAAAGCCAGAAAGCTGTTATAGAGAAAGCACGTTTTGGGGGGAAAAAAGGCAAGGGAAAAACCAACTAAAAGAAATATGGAAACACCTTATAGGAGTTAATTCTACAATTAGTTTATCTCAAAATATGCACTGATGAAATAATCTCCTTTAACAAAAAAATCTGATTTTATATCCTCTAATATTTCTGGGTCAATTAGTGAAAATAAACACTTAAGATGACCTAAAAAAAATCTCCAAGACATCACATACCTAATACAAAGTACCCAAGAGAATTCTATATATTCACAAATAACTGAAAAAATATGATATTAAATTAACTCATCAACGCAGGTCTAGAAAGTTGAAGAATGTGGCTTACTTTTCATGTGCAAACATGTTTTACATCAGTTGAAATCGAAATCATGCAGTTCCATCATTTGCTAATTGGCTTCAATATTCAAGCATTACACATCATTGCTGAACTGTCCTCTAAAGGAATTGTTAAAAACCATGATGTTCTTACTTCAATATTTGATGAAAGAAGTAAGATTAGAAATAGTACAGAAATCTTGTCTGTACCACCAAACAGTTCAACACAAGCTGTGTTTGATTTATAAATTGTAGTACAGAAATCTTGTCTGTACCACCAAACAGTTCAACACAAGCTGTGTTTGATTTATAAATTGTACTATAGGATACTAGAATAATAAAATCTTCAGGCTGACTGCTTAAGAAAAACATCAATATCTTGAGGAAAATTAATCCTTAGTCAAAGGAATATCAGGAACTACGGTCAAAAGTGCTTCTGGTCACAGGGTAACAGGAAAGCATTCGTAAAAACAAAAAGAAATGTCAAAAAAAGATGAAGGAATTATTGGGGCACAGCAACTGGAATGCTCAGGTAAAGCAAATACAGTTTAAAGAAATGCTACAGGAAATCTTGATGTTATATAGGACTCTGAAGTCATAAAGAATAAACAACAGAATAACTGAATATAACTTTTGAAAATAAGTCACTGTGTTTTCCTTTCAAAGACTTATTAAGTATGGGAATACAATGTATGCCTGTACTTCCTTCCAGTACTCAAAAGCTCAGAACAGAATATCATGAGTTCAAAATCATCCTGATATATACATCAAGACCTTGTTTCTCCCCTAAAAAGTTTTACAGAGATATAATATATACAGTATGAAATTACAAATTAAAAGTATAAAATCCAGTGACTTTTACTCTACTCACAACCATTGTCACAATTCAAAGACTTTTGGCTGGTAGAAAGCCTTTGCTGGTTTTGTCTTTGCAGTGGTGGGTATTGATTCTAGAGTAAAACACATGCTGGCTAAGCTCTATGCATCTGAGCTACAACTCAATCCCACAATTCAGCTTCAAAATACTTTCATCACCACTACAAAACACTACACGACTTAGCCTCAACCTCCTCATTCCCTCCTTTGCATAGCCCTTAGACAAACTGCATCTAATGAATCTGTAGATTTGCCAATACATGATGTTTCAAATAAGCAGCATCATAAACTTATGCATGGCTTCCTTATTGCCAAATATTACCCATTATATGTATAGCCCTTGTTTCTTCATTCATTCATTTTGTTAACAAACATAGTTTCTGCACTTGGGTATGTATTTATGAAAAATGTTACGATCAACATTGAAATTAAAACTTCATTTCAATTGTGTATACATCTAGGATTAGAACTGGTGAATAATGCTAAATCTTGGCCACTTTTTTCTTTTATCATATCCTATTTCATGTATAGTGATCCATCACTGTGTGCCTACCTTACATTCATTTCCTTAGTAATAATATAAGTAAATGCCAGTTGTTTATATTATTTGAAGAAAAGTCTTCTTGATTCTTTAATACCAACCAGAGCTTGCAGGAGGGAGAAGTTTGAGATACTTTCTCTATTAACCCAGGCTGGACTGAACTTCATGATTCTCCTATTCTAGCCTTCTCAGTGTTGGGATTATATGTGCATACTACCACAGTAGGCAGGAATGTCCATTTATGACTGAGTTGTAAAAGTCCGTTTTATATGTTCTAGATATAAGTACCTTATTAGACAGGATTCATTTAGGTTACCTCTTATCACAACTTATCTTTCATCTTTTTTATCAATTGAGACAGGGTTTTACTCTGTAATATACGCTGATATGGAACTTGCTAGGAAGCCAAGGCTGGCATCAAACTTGAGATCCTCCTGCTGCAGCTTCATGAGTACCTGGATCACAGGCCATGTGTCACCATGCCAGGTTAGTTTTAGTTCTTAAATACAGGTCCTTCACATTTTTTGGTAATTCATTGAATGAGGTAATGCATGGATGTGTGTGATAACCTCATTGAGAGGATGGGATGAGATTGTCGGCTTCAGTCCAAGAGTACAAGACAGCCGGGAGAACACAGGCAGACCATATCTGAAAGTGAGAAAGGTGAGTGGGAGAAAAAAGAAAGGGAGGCAGAAGAGGCTAAGAAGCGAGGAGAGAGACGGTGATTCCTGCTCAGTTTTGTTTTGTTAGTTTTGTTTTTTAGTTTTTTGAGACAGAGTTTCCCTGTTTAACAGTCTTGGCTTTCCTGGAACTCACTTTGTGGGCCAGGCTGGCCTTGAACTCAAGAGATCTGGCTGCCTCTGCCTCCCAAGTCCTGGAATTAAAGACCACCATTGTTCCCAGCCAGCTTTGTTTTTCATTTTTTTCAGATGAGACATTTACTAGGTTTTCTTACTGTCAAGCTTGCCCCACTTCTCCCTTTCCATCTTTCTGTGTCTCCCTCCCTCTTGCCTACTCCAACCTGGTCTGACTAAGCAGCTGGCTGTCCCAGAATTCATTATGTAGAACCAGATGGCCTGGAGCTCACAGCGAGATGCCTGCTACCATTCCCAGCTAAGCATCTCTCTTAAGATGTCTATGCATCTCATCTCAGTGAGCTTCCAATTCCCAATGTAACATAAAACAATGGCCTTGAACTACTAATCCTGCTGCTGTCACCTCCTAAACACTTTCATTATAGGTATGTGCCACCAAGTCTAGCTTCTTTTTAAATCAATAACTATATGCAGGTGGGCTAAAGAGCAACTTTTCACCTATATTTACTATTCTTATTATATGCATTCATTAGTTAGGGCCAATAAGTAGAAACCTAACTCCAAACGAGAGACCAGGTTGTTATGTAAAGAAGTATAACATCAAGTATACTGGGTAGGACACATAGATAATAATACCTGTGCATTCTAGTTTTTAAAAGGATACCGAGAAGAATAAATTAACAGTACTTCAGTCAACATTTTAAACATTTCTCTGTTTTTTTAAATTATAACATGGAGAGGATAATATGGTTTGCCTTGGATTTTGCCTTCAAACCTTGTGAACTTGATAACTAAGACACAATTTCATGGATGTAATTTACATACTTTTTCATACAAATGTAGAATATTTTTAAAATTACTCTAAATTTTTTTGTTTTCTTTTACAGATTTACTCCGCATGTGTAATTCTTCTGAAGTAGCCCTTTTTTGGTTTTGTTTTGTTTTTTTCAAGGCAGGGTTTCTCTGGGGAGCCTGGGCTTTCCTATAACTCACCCTGTACACCATGCTGACCTCAAACTCAGAGATCCACTTGCCTCTATCTCCCCAGGGCTATGACTAAAAGGCGTGTGCCACCATGCCTGACCTGAACTAGTTCTTAACTAATTAAAGGCTTTATTTACATAATACACAGACACTCGTGGGCATTTTCTTGCATATTGTTGGCGGTGCTGAAAATCAAGCTGAGGTTCCCTTATATACCATGTTTAGTTGAAGAGCACTTCAACTAAACAATTATTGCTTTAAGATTGTCCCTTGAACAATCTTAAACAAATTACTTGGATAGTAATTTTAATTTAATTATAATTTAATTGCAAATTTTTATTGATTTTTATTGAGCCCTACATTTTTCTCTGCTCCCTTCCACTTCAACACTCTCCCAAAGTCCCCATGCTCCCAATTTACTCAGTAGATCTTGTATTTTTCTACTTCCCATGTAGATTAGATCTATGTATGTCTTAAGCATACTTATTTCATTCAAATGTAAAAAATATGAAATAAACTTAAAAATGGCAAAATTACCAAGAACATATTCATACAGAAGATGAAAACAACTGAATGCATTTGTTACCTGTTAAGTGATCTAAGTAGTACTGATAGAGCTTGCACTGAATAGCAGTCATTCTCACAGCCAATACATATTCATGTTTTGGAGGCAAAAACTTTGTTAATGCTGTATAATCTTTCCTCTGCAATTAACAAGACAGAATGCAAATCAGTTATCTAAACATATAAAAACTTTAAGAGCTCTCATTTGTTGGGAGTTGAAAGACACATAGTCAATATTTTCTAAATGATATTTACCCTCTCAAGTTGTAACAGAAACCACGTATGACTATACTTAATATATGTCATATGACTATATAATGATACATTGGTTTAAAAAAAGATACTGCAACATGCCCATCAGATTTTAAAATAAAGTGGTTACATGTGAACGATTGATGAAAATTCAAGTTCTCAAGATAATCTTTTCGGTATTTAAAAAAAAGTATAAGTAGGAGAAGTCATGTGGTAAGTAATGCTATCAAAAATGACTTGCTTTTCATGTAACTCATGAATTAAAAGTGTCATGGGAATCAAAAGTGTCACATAGGCAGGGCAGTGGTAGTGTGCACATTTAATCCCAGCACTCTGGAGACAGAGGCAGCCAGATCTTTGTGAATTCGAGGCCAGCCTGGCAAGTTCCAGTATAGCCAGGGCTACACAGGGAACCTCCTGTCTCGTAAAAAATAAAAATGTCACGTAGCCAACTGTTGAGGCATATGCCTGTGATCCTAACACTTGAGATGCTGAGGCAGGAAGATCAAGGCTTCCAATTCAGCCTAGGCTAAAAAGAAAACCCATCTCAAAAGAGAAAAAGGGGGAAAACACACACACATTCACACAAAACTCAAACTCTAAGACAATCTGAATTATGCCAAACACCAACACATAACTTCTGAAGCTATGTTTGTCCCTTTAAGAAAATAAATCATGGGGCTGGAGAGATGGCTCAGAGGTTAAGAGCACTGCCTGCTCTTCCAAAGGTCCTGAGTTCAATTCCCAGCAACCACATGGTGGCTCACAACCATCTGTAATGAGGTCCGGTGCCCTCTTCTGGCCTTCAGACATACACACAGAATATTGTATACATAATAAATAAATAAATATTTTAAAAAAAGAAAAAAAAAGAAAATAAATCATGCTTAAAAAAAAAAAAGAAAGAAACACCAATGGCACCATGTTACTGTAGGGACAGAAAATAATACTAATAATAGGTGAATAGAAATAACTACTTAAAACAAAACAAAATAACAAAAATCCCAACTTACTACTTGGGTAATAACAGCAGTAAAGAAACAAAGTACTTATGAGTACATGTAGCCAACCTAATCAAACACAACTGTCTTCTATGACAGCATTATAGCCATCCTAAAAGATATTCTGCTTCACTGTGGATCATGTTTATAGCCACCCTTAGGGTTTATTGTCCTCGGAGAGAATGTAGATATTTAAATTTCTGAATTGATAACAAGATATTTACCTATCTATAAATATGGATTCACCAATAGTCTTACTTAAATAACACTACTAACCTGTTCAATATATACCCGAAAGTAACGAAACCATTGTGTGCATGTGTGTGTGCGTCTGTGAATGGATGTATGACTAAAGAGTGAATGAATATATGAACCACATGTGTCACAGCATAAATGTGGAGCCCAGAGGACAACCTTGTGAGCAAATTTTCTCTTTCCACTTTTACAGAAATTCCAGGGATTAAGCTCTGGTTGCCATGCTTGTACAGCAAGCACCTTTACCCAGTAAGCCATCTTGCCAGCCCCTAAAATGATATGTTAAAGATTACTTTAAAATCAGTTCAACTCTTAGTTTATACTAGCCTCTACTACAACTATTTCAAACAATGAGGTTCTGAACACCATGCCATAGTACAAAAAAGAATTTCTTCATCATAACAGCTGTGCATCTTAAAACAATGAATTTAAACATGAACATAGCAATATATGGGGCAAGAGCATTAATCAATTGTGTTCTTAAACTGTGAAACATATTACAAATATGAATAAATGGCAGATTTTTAAAGAGATGCAAAACTAAAAATGAAAAAGAAACAAAAGTAGTTGAAGCTTGAACTCAGAAAATAATGTGGGATGGCAGTATTCTTATTATGGAAGCATCTGTACCTGAACACATCCGGCTAACATCTCATAGAGAATATGAGCACGTTTTTTCATCACTCTCACATCTACCATTGTAGAATCTGCACACTGACCATTCTGGATTGGATTTATAAATCTATTTCTGAACTCCTTGATGGATCCAAGCAAATTTTCCTTGATAAAGTTAACCATGCAATGATCTAAGAGACAAAATATTGATTCATTAATAACATTAAAGATGGAAACCCAGAAAAACTCCCCAATATATCACTCATGCCAAAACCTCAGATTATAAAGGGAAGGGAAACCGGAGGCAGAAGGGAGGTGAGGAGAAAAAGTCAAGTTTAGGAAAATATCTGGTTCTAAGTCTGATCTAGAACTACATAAATCATATGAGAAACTGAAAGAGACCATCCATAAACCCTAGGCCTAGTTCTTCTAAAAAGTGATTGATTCTAAATCACTATTCTTTACAGGAAAAAACAAAACAAGTATATATAACTAAAATGATGATTTTATGGTCAGTGAGGGCATGTTGTAAGAAAAATAAATACAAAATAAAAGTAATAAAAGTAGATAATAAGCTACTATGACGCAGCTAAGACTGTTCTTGATTCAGCTGTGCAAGCCTTTAAAGGTGCCACCACTTGCCCTATATTAAACAGCACCACAATGTAAAATAGCATTTCTATAGTAAGGAGAACAAAAGAACAATGGGAAAAAATAACAAACAAATAAAAAGCCTGATGAAATGGAAAACACGAAACTCTATAATGACAATTGGAATTTGCTAAATAAGCTGCTGTTCCATTCCAAGAAAATGAAGGATATTCACAGGCACCTCTCTGTATATTTCAGTTTTCTCTTCCAAAATTGTTAACAACCAGCCTTTCTTTTTATACTTTTTTGCAAGTGGAGGGGAGGTTTCACTGTGTAGTATTGGCAACCCTAGAACTCACAAAGATAAACCTCCTCAGTGATGGGATCAAAGGTGTATACAACCACACTCAGCCTCTTTTTGTTTCCTTACTAGTACTTCCTCCAAACTGGATATATGAACTTATAAAACACACTGAATAAGCACATACACATTTTGTATATTTTAAAGCAATCGTTAAAGAATTCTGATACTTTTTCAAATATTTGAGTTTCCTTAGCTATATCTGAGCAATGACAACAGCACATGTCTTGTGGTATGCTACTCCTATCCATACAGCATTTCACTTATGAGCATGTTGTTCTTTTACAGAAGAATCAACTATAGATCATGGTAAGGGACTATAACAAACAGAAGGAAGAAAAATGGTAACAATGCAAAATTATATGAGTCAACAACAGCATTCTGGAGCATAAAGGTGTATATTAACTCACATTCGATTAGGTTATTTTGAAGTGGTGTTCCTGTTAAAATAATCCTCCTTCTTGATCGTATAGAGTTCATAGCTTTAGAAACAGCAGATGCTTCATTTTTTAGAATATGGCCTTCATCACAAACAACAAAATCAGGGCCTATAAAAATGTATACAAAAACAATGCTTAATTTAAACCCAATGAAACTAAAAAGGCTGTTCCTGGAAACTAAAAAGGCTGTTCTATGGTTAATCATTTTATAATGTTGGTCTTGAAAGAAAGTAACATTATTACAAGCACAATCATATTTTATGTCTCACTATGTATGGTTGAAATGGCACTGATTAGTATTAATCAAAGCAACCACAGCCAAGTACTAAAGTATTACTATAAATAATATTAAGGTCTATAAACCTTGAAGACTAAAGCTTAAAGATTTTACCAAAAGCCAGGTGATATTAGCACATGCCTTTAATCTCAGCACTCACTCAGGAGACAGAGACAGAAGGATCTCTGTGAGTTTGAGGCAAGTCTGGTCTATAGAGCAAGTTCCAGGACACCCAGGGCTACACAGAGAAACCCTGCCTGAAAAACAAGCAAACAAATAAACAAAAGACTTAACCAACATAAAAAGAGCAAGAGAAATACAAGTGAAGAAGATCACTCCCAACACACCTGGGTTTTTCAAAAAGAACTATCTTCTGGGGGATGACAAAAAAAAAAGAAATAACTTTTAGAACTAAGATACTTTAAAATGCTTAAGCACTTTTAACAATTAGAATGGAATATCTTCAAAGATAATATTTTGGCTATAGATTACATTAAAATTATCACAAAAGACAAAGAATATATATATATATATATATATATATATATGAAAAAGACAAATATCAAAACTCTATAAGGAATAATATAGGGGCTGAATACAGAAGTGGCTCAGTGGTTATAAAAACTTGATGTTCTTCCACAGGTCCTGGCTTCCACCTCCAGCACCTAAATCATGGCACCCAACCATCCATATCTCCATTTCCAAGAGATCTGACACATTTTTCTGGCCTCCATGAGCAACAGGCATGAACCTGGTGCACAAAAATACATGCAGGCAAAAACACCCACACATATAAATAAAAATAAGTATTTTAAAAAGGAAATGATAAAAACTAATTACAAGAAGTCATAAAACATTTGCAGTTTATTTAAAATAACACTAAATGCTGAGACTATTTTATGTTTTAAACACATTCCTCTTGGTATATGTTATACATGGTATATATTATGAGATACTCATTGCAATACAAATAAATAGTTTGAGACTTAAAACTATCTCTAATCTTAAGGGACAGTGACAAGGACAGGGGAAGGATCAAGCATTCAAAACCCACCTCAACTATGCAGAAAAAAACCTTGTCACCCCCACCACACACACATACACACACAATTTAACAAAACACTAATGGAAAACCAAAGTATTATTGAAGTCATAACAAGGATAACCTAGACATTTAAACTTAAAAATTAACTAACAAGAGGACTGGAGAGATGGCTCAAAGGCTAAGAGGATTTGCTGCTTTTATAAAGGACCTAGGTTCAGTTCCAAGGACCAAATGACAGCTCATAACTTTCTGTAATTCCAGTTCTTGGGGACCTCACAAGTTTTTCAGGCATTTTCAGGTGCCAGACACACACATGGTACGGACATAAATGCAGGCAAAACACTTACACAAAAAATACTTTAAAAATAACTTAAAAATTAAAGTAAATGAATACATTTTAAAGTAAAATAAGCATCATATCACCTAAAACTACATTTAGAATTGTATTACACATTAACCAGAATTTACTAAAGCAATGTTAGACTACATAAAAAAAACCATTCATTTCAGAGCAAGCTGGATACTGTACACCTAGCACCTGGAACTGTTTCCTGGGAAGCTGAACAGCAATAGACTTAATTCCATAGAAGGTTTAGAATTGAAGGCATTTACTCAGCTAACTAGCCCTCCTCTCCTTTGTGTTCCTAAGAGCTCCTGCTTGTCCTCTGATCTACTAGTCTCTCCAAGAATTATTTACATTTTTTTGCTCTTGGCTCTATAGTGATCTGTCTCTTTACCTCCAGTCTCTGTCACATAACACTAAGTCTTGTTTTAAATCTTTTGAGTATATTCTCTTAGCTTCCTCTTCTCACCTAAAACTGTAGCAACTTTGTTGGTGGCTAAGAAAGCAAAAATTCATGAAGTGGCAGCAATGTGCTCATGAGTTAAATAACTGGTAAATTGCTATCCGAGATGGACTAACTAGGAGCCAAAGAGAATGTCTAAGAATCTCAAAGTAGTGGACAAAGAAAACAGAAGCATACAGAATTATATACCGGCTTCCAGTTTCCAATAGCATTCAGACCACCATTAAAATAAAAGGGAGCCAGACATATGATTTAGTAAGTCAAAGTGCTGAGGCTAGTTGCAAATGCATGAGCTCTATTACAGAAACCCACGGTGGTGAAAAGGTGCCAAAAGTTGTGTTCTGTCCTCTGTACATGCAAGCCATGGAACACATATGTTTACATTCATCCATTCTACTCATTACTGTAATCTCAAACCCTCCCTCCCCTCTCTCTCAGACTAAGTAGGATGAAATTTAAAAATAAAATAAGTCATTGCATCTTGAACTGATTCTGGAATCCATTCTTGCACCAATTCCCAGAAATTGAACTAAGATCATCAGGCATGCAGAATAACAGCTTTCACCCACTAAGCTACTTTAGTGCATGCCCCATCCTATTTCAGATGGACATATGATCTTACTGCCTCCATTTCAGAAATACTAGGATTACAGATGATTTGCCATGCCCAGCATATAAAACTTACTTCAAAATTAAATTTCAGGCTGGGGATGTGACCTAGCATGCATGAGGCATTGGGATTAATCTGTAGTACCACATCATCACATAAACCATGTTACAGGGTTAATGTCAATAATTCCATCACTCAGGAAGTGGAGGCAGGAGGATCAGAAGGCAAAGATGACCCTCTGCTAGTCACAGAGACATCCCTGTCAAAATAGGGAAGGCTATGATTATAGGCACATGCCACAATGCCTGATTTTAAAAACTGTTTAAAACCATTCACAAGATACACTGAAAAAAACCTGCTGAAATGATACAATAGTTAAAATTCTAATACACCAACCTCAGATCGTAACACGAAAACTCAATAGCTAAAAGTATTAAAGATGATTTTATGTTATTTAAATTATATTTAGAACTAAGAAAAAATAAAACCTAATGGACAAAGGAAACAAGTACTGGCTACTTAATAAGTATTCAATTAATACCTCTTAAATTACAGATAAACACATATATTTCAACTGGCTTTGTCATGTCAGTGCTCATAGTACCTTACCTGGATCAACTAAAGCTTTATTGAAAATTTCTTTAAGTTTCCGACTCTTCACATTCCTTCCTTGAGCAAGATTTCGGTACATCTCATAACCTATGATCATAACGCCACCATCTTCTTGCCATCTCTGTAGCATATAACTTCTCTCCTGAGGACGTTTCACGGTTGCTAATTCAGAGACCTTGAAAAATAAAGGTTTAACAGTAGCTATTAAAACAACTGAGTTTTAAATACTGCCACTGAAATGTGCATTAGTAACTAAGAATCTTCTTTCCATATAGGAATCTCATGCTATTGCTTCAATAGGAAACATAACTAAATGTTACCTCAACTTTTTCATCATCATTTAGTCCCTCCTGCCACTTCTCAAATTCATTCATCCAGTTCAAAGCAGTGTTAAGAGGACAAACCACTAAAGCTGTACTGAAATCCAATTTGTCACACAAAAGAACTGTGTGAAGAAAACTGACCACCTACAATAAAGTAAATAAAGTTACATTTTCATTTAAATATACACAAAACAAATTAGAAAAATCAAACAATCACAATTTACTCAGTTTGCTTTAAATAATGAGCCAGCCAAAAAAAGCAAGATCATAATTCCAAACCCATACAAAATATAGATAAAGAACTATAACATTAAAACCAGTCCTAGAAATGAAGGAGTTTTAGTAGTGAAAAGGACTTTAAACTTTTATTACCATAACAAACTATAAAGTTCAGTAAGAAGGCCGGGCAGTCGTGGTGCATGCCTTTAATCCCAGCACATGGGAGATAGAGGCAGGCTGATCTGTGAGTTTGAGGATTGCGTGGTCTACAAAGCAAGTTCCAGAACGATCAGGAATGTTACACAGAGAAACCCTGTCTTGGGAAAAAAACAAATTTCACCTGGTATCCTTGAAGCTGCTGGTAGTCACACCTGCAAGCACACTGCCTCAATCCTATCAGCACCTTTACACAAACATCACTCTTTTTGGAGTGCTGTCAAGAATATTTGGGTTTTTAACTTTTTCTTTTATTTGAGATTATAAAGCAATAGTATCATCTCCGCCTTCCCTTTCTTCCCTCCGAAACTTCGCACGTACTCCTCCTTGCTCTCTAGCTAATTCATGGTCTCTTTTTCCATTGTTTTTATGCACATATATGAATATGCATACAAAAACACCATCTCTTTAAATATGTTTACCCTAACTCTTGATCCTCCCCTTTTAACAGAGTATCAGAAAGTACATTTTTAAATTTCATTCCTCACCACAATATGCAATATACAATACTTGAGATGGGACCTTATGCTTCTTTACTGCTGTATCTCTACCACCCACCTAAAACACAGCAGAATCCAAAACACTTATTAATATATGTGCAAAATGAATAGGTTTATTTCCTTTTTTTAAAAAAGACTTATTTATTTATTTATTATGTATACAACATTCTGCCTCCATGTATGCCCGCACACCAGAGAAGGGCACCAGATCTCATTACAGATGGTTGTGAGCCACCATGTGGTTGCTGGGAATTGAACTCAGGACCTCTGGAAGAGCAGTCAGTGCTCAACCACTGAGCCATCTCTCGAGCCCTAGGTTTATTTCCTATAGCTCTTACCTGCAAGGTCTTACCAAGGCCCATGCAGTGGGCAAGAATACACCCTGAACCTGGAGATTGCTTTGTCTTTTTCACAGATTCACAGCAGCAATCCCACATAAACTGAACACCTAAGAATGAGAAACCAAAACTTGTAAGAAACAGTAAGCTTTTAGATTTTGTTTTTTAACATTTATTTTATGTGTCTAAATGTATACTATATGAGTGCTGGGAATCGAACCAAGCTGCCATACAAGAGCAACAAGTACTCTTAGCTACTGAGCCATCTCTCCAACACCCAAGAAATAGCATTCAAAAAACAATGGGCACTAAAGATATTTTGTTGTTGTTGTTGACTAAAGACATTCTTAATACAAATAGAACTGGTTTTTTTCCTGCTAAAGAACTAAAACACAAGCAGAAAATGGGGGGATGTCTGTTCAAATACCCTAAAGTATAACACTAGATTTCTCTATACCTTAAGATAGCTTTAAAAGGTAGAAGAATACTTGAAAAACAGAAACTTTAACCAAAGAGGGCAGAGCTTCCTATCAAATACACATTAAAGGCTACAGAATCAACCAGAAAACTATTCCGGGAAGAAAATTCTTCGTTGAGCAATAGAAACTGAACAATAAACAGGGCTGGTAATCCAAGAAGTAGGAACAGCTCAATTTCCCTTATGGACTACTTCACATTTATATTTAAAATTAAAGTAGTAGCTCTATAGTAACACAGCAGAGAATAGGAACAGTTGAATAACTTCCTAATACTAATGTAAGAAAATCAATAAAACACTTACTTCAAAATGCTGAAATGGCACTTCCCTAAGAAAACTTTTGGTTAACTGTGTTTCTTCCTATCTGCTCTAGCCAAGCACTATGTACTCTGCTTCCCACTTGTAAGAGCACTTCTTGCCAATTTAAAACATTATGCTTGCAGTCACCAAAACTTGTTCTCCCTTCCTGGTAAGATCTATAACAGCTGTAATCATATTATTGCTCTATAATGTATCTCCAGTGATTAGCAAAATGCTAGACAAACAGAAGAAAACAAAATATAGGTAAAATTTAGCTAAAAGTGATTAAATCATTTAATAACTTCTTACCATCTACTTGGTGGGGTTTCAATTTAATAACCATGTTTCTATGAACCTGCACTAAAGGTTCTTTGGTTTCTTCATCTTCATCTAAAACCAATTTGGTTGTTATTGGACACTTGGTAGGTGAGGCATCCTCAATTTCTATCACCTACAAAAAAGGGAGTTGTTGATAGTTAAGCTCACAGAAATCTTTCAAGCAATGGTGGAGTAGCAATCGTTTTTGGTTTTGTGTTTGTTTTTTTGTTTGTTTGTTTTCAATACAGAGTTTCTCTGTTAAGTCCTTTCTGTCCTGGAACTCACTCTTGTAGATCAGGCTGGCCTGAAACTCACAGAGATCCACCTGCCTCTACGAGCCAAGTGCTGGGATAAAAGGCGTTAGCCACCAGCTTAGCATCAATCTTAAGATAGATTTTTCCAAAGCATAAACACACCTATACCCAGGTTCATATTTTCCAGAGAAAAAGAAAATTTCATATAGACTTGAAATCACTATAGCACCCAAAATATTGGAATACAGTTGTATTAAGTAGGATTTTAAGTAAATAGCTCTATCAGTCAGTGAAGTACTTGCTTGTACAAGCATGTGGACACGAGTCCAATCCCCAAAATACGTGGAAGGAAGAAGGGAACGAGAAAGGGTGAGCAGGCAGGTAATTAGGCAGGGGAGTGGGGAAAGAACAAAAGGACAAAAGAAGGCAAGAAGGAAAGAAGCAAGCTATCCCTTGTGGTAGTAGAGAAAGGCAGATTCTATCACTCAGAAGCCAGTCAGCATAATATACCTGGCCAACTCCAAGTCCCTGGGAGTCCCTATCTTAAGTGCGGTTGATAGTTCCCGAGGAATGACACTCCAGGCTAAACTCTGCGTTCTACATAAATATGCACCTCACACACACACAAATACAAATATACTAACAAAAACCTTAATTTAACATACACACGAGAACAAGTATGTGTACACTCATTTTTTGTCAACCCTAACTAACACTTTAAAGATAGGAACTAAACAACAGACTTAGACCTAGAAAACTGCTTACATATAGCCCAAACCCAATGATGTTTTAACAAAAGAAATGCTTATGTGAACAACTTATTGTCACATGCAAAAAACGAACAAAAATTCTTAATTAGAAAAATTGTAGAAGTGGGGTATGGCTAGATAGGAGAGCTTGCCTAACACGTGCCAGGCCCTAAGGCTCAATTCCCTAACATAGAAAACTAAACAAAACGTTGTGTCAAGCATAGTAACAAAGCCTATACTCTTACCACCTGGAAAGTAAACACAGGAAAATCAGGGGGTCAAAGACAGCCTAAGCGAAATATTGAGTTCATAAACAAACTTTGCAACATGAAACATTGTCTCTAAAAACTGAAAAACAAAATATGCCGTTGAAGTGGTAGTCAACCTCTCTCCCATTCCTAAATGCTGGGGTTACAGGTGTTTACCACCACATCTAGCCTAGAAGTTATCTTGAAGCAAACATAAAAAACTAGGAAATTTTATACATAAAGATTGGAAATTAAATCACAGGTTTGTAATGAATTACAAGGACACTAAATTTACATGAAATTTGAAGTGATAAACACATCAAGAATAATACTGAGAGACAGAGTTGAGCATATACATTTAGGTCCAAATTCCATTTCATTTTGCTATGTAAATTTTCTTAACATTAGTTTCTATACTTGAAAATTAGGAATATGTTTCAAGAGCCCTCAGAGGAACTGTGGAAATTAAAGCAGCATATATTAAGAATTTAGTACATAATAAGTATTCAACAGTTATGTCCTAGCATAGACGGTATCATGCCATATCACAAGGAACAGCCACTACAAAAAATTTAATTTCTTAAAATGCCTTGGCCTGTTTGCAAGATATGGTAGGCAAAATGTTAAAATGGCACCAGCATTCTTGCCTCTTGGTATAAACGTCCTGTATAATCTGCCCTCGTTGAGTGTGGTTAAGACCTATAAATACAATGTGATATGAGTCCCAGATATGAATAATCATCATTTAACTCAGACTTACTCAAAACATACTCTCCTAAGTAGGCCTGAACTCAAAGTTAGCCATTCAAAAGATTGAAATGCTTTCCTATGGGGCAAAAAACGGAAGCAACATGTCATGTAGCAGAAAGAAGCATGTAGCAGAAAGAAGCATGTAGCAGAAAGAAGAAAGAGACTATGTACGTGACTGCAAGAAACACACCATGTTAAAGAGTTGAGAAAATAACAAAAACACTTAGACAAAAGGATAGCCCTGGTTAATTTCTTAAACTTAATGAAACACTGAGCAGAGGATCCAATAGAGTCATGCCTAGCTAAGTCACTCCCAAATTCTCTAATAATGGTAAGATAATGAATTTATCTTCTTTAAAGAGGTTAAGTGGATGCAAACATTTTCAAATAGGCAGAAAACCCCTTGATGTCTGCAACCTCTTTCCTTGGGCAGATCTGAATCCTCTGAGATCATTACACAAAGTAGCAGGGAATATGAGTTCTCCCCCTCTACTATGGTATAGAATGTTCTGCATCCTTCTCCTGGGTTCTGATGCATACAAGCACGTGGAGGGAGAACTTTTTGTCTTGGAAACTTTGCCAACCTCGCTTGCATACAGGAGCTGGCCACTTACCCAGACCACAGTAGAAAAGCTTACTGTGACCATGAGTAGCACCTGCTAGTAAAGATGGGAAGTTCTTTTCTTCCATATAATATGCTTTCATTGCTTAGTTCCCTAACTCATTTTAGATTAAGTATATTCATTATTATTTTTTTACAGTAATTTTCACTTCATAGCTTATTCTCTATCATTATTTTGGCTATTATTTTTCCTATGGTTCTTAGTGGTGTCGTAGCTGGCATTTACTCATTATAAATTTATTCCTATATCTGGTTTAATTTTGGGTTCCCTTTATATTGGGTTCTGAGTGTTGATAAGGAATGAGCTCACCATAAAAGGCAACTCACAAAGACACCAATAAAAAGTCAACAGGTGTATGTATCCCAAGGTTATAGAGGTCACAACACAGAAAAATAAAAATATAGAAATTCAAAGCAGTGCAACTTAAAAAGAACACATTTCTCAAAATCTTATAACTTGAAGAAATAAAAAATAATATGACCTTATAATAATGTTTAAAATATCCTTATCTTTTTAATGCTATAGTCTCAACTATTAATAGATGATGATACCAATTCTGGAATCTACTCCAAAATAATCCAAAAGTAGGTAAATATATGAAACAAATCTGGTACTGTTAGTAATGGATGATGCTGGAATAAAAGATACATGGAGGATTACTATATAATTTTCCACACATATATTTGACAGCATTTTCACTAAAAAATTGATTCAAAAAGAGAAATCCCGGGGCTTAGAGAGATAGCTCAGAGGTTAACAGCACATACTGCTCTTGCAGAGGACAAGCATTCAGTTCCTAGCACCCATTTCTGAAAGGCAGCTCTAGTGCCTAGAATCCCAATTCCAACAGACCTGACACCGTCTTCTGGTCTTCATGGGCAAACATACACACATATGAAGCAAACCCACATGCAGACATACATATAAACCCATAATTTAAAATAACAAACTTTAAAAAAAATTATACATATAAAAAAATCAATTTAAAGCTGACACGAGAACTCAGCAGATAGAGGTACTTTCTACACAAGCCTAACAACTGAGTGGAACCCACATAAAAGCAAAAGGAGAGAACCAATCACAAAGTGCCTTCTGATAAACACATGTGCATCATGGTACATATGTACCCCATACACACAATTTTAGAAACTAAAAAGAAATTTTACAAAGGAAGTCATTTTCCTAACTAACAATATTACAATCATTTGTTATCATGTAACAGTCTCAATTGTTTTCAAATCCTTAATTATACAAGCATAGCCTAATAAGCATAGCATGCTAACACTGGTGTAAAAGAATTTTACCTAAAAATCTACAGTTTATTAAGACATTCAACTCTTGAAAACCTGTATGCATCTGTGACATATGTCTATGAAAGTTATATATCGCCGGGCGGTGGTGGCGCACGCCTTTAATCCCAGCACTCGGGAGGCAGAGGAAAGCGGATCTCTGGGAGTTCGAGGCCAGCCTGGTCTACAAGAGCTAGTTCCAGGACCGACACCAAAAGCTACAGAAGAGAAACCCTGTCTCGAAAAACCAAAAAAAAAAAAAAGTTATATATCACAGAAATACAGTGGCTACCTCTCTTAATTTCTCTCTCTCACGTTCTCTCTCTGCAATACGTTTTCGTCTCTCTTCTTCTTCTTTAAGGGCATTCTGGGTTTCTGTTCTTAGTTTATCATCTTTTAGAATCTTCCGAATTTTCTTTCTGCCTTTTCCAGGGGACTTAGAATCATCATTTTCATCCTCCTCCTCCTCTTCCTCCTCCTCCTCATCATCTTCCTTTTTTTCTTCTTCAGAATGGGTCTGTGGAATTCAAATACAGAGAAAAACAGTAAAAGTGCTCTAATTCATTTATTTCATGTTAAATTGTGTAATGTGCCAACAAGGGGCAGATGAAAAACTTTATTAATTATATCCAGAAATAAACAAGTGTTGAATAAAACTTCAATTAAACCAGAACAAAAGAAAAGAATCAGGGCTAAAGAATCAAACAGGTATTAATTTTAAAACTGTATACGAATAGCTAACAAGAACATGAAAAGATATCCAAACTGACAGGTCAGAGGAAAAAATTCAAAACTGCAATTAGGTACCGTTTTATGCACATTGTAATTATTATTATTAATAAAACCAAATTTTGTAACAAAAAGGGGGCCTGCTTGTTGTTGGGGTTTTTGTCCCGCCCAGTACCCCACAACTGTTTAGCCCCAGAGAAAAATCACACATAGGTCTCCATAAATTATAAGCTGATTGGCCCATTAGCTCTAGCCTCTCTCACTAGCTAACTCTCACATCTTGATTAACCTATTTTTCTGATCTATGTTAGCCATGTGGCTCAGTACCTTTTTCAGTGGGGCAGATCACATCCTGCTGCTTCAGTAATCTGGGCAGGAGTGGGAGGAATCAACTTCCTCCTTCCCAGAATTCTCCTGTTCTCATTGCATCATTTCTATTTCCTGTCTGGTTTTCCCACCTATACTTCCTGCCTGGCCAATCAACATTTATTTAACACATGACTGACAGATTACAAATTCTCCTGCACCACTTTCCCCCTCTTTTAAAAAAAAAACAAAGGAAAATATCCATAGTCCATTTTTTGGGAATGTGGGCATAGTATTCTAGGCTACTTCCAGCTGGTTGGGGGCACTGATAATCTTATAAGGAACCTAAAGAAAATTTAGAGTTATAATCAAGTCCTGATTGGAGTATCCTGTGAGTCTTGATCATCTCAGGCAGCAAAATTTAAGAAACTAAATGTCAGTGAACATGAGGCAGTACAGTGCTTTTAAGAATGCTAAATGATGTAACCAATATAGAAAAACTACGTGGAAATCTGACCCAGCAATTACAACTTGCACACATACCAGAGACAACTAAATGCAGGAATAAAAACAAATATTTACAGGTATGTTTATAATCGCCTGACTCAAAACAATTAAAAGGAAAATAAGCGATGTCCAACAACAGGTGAATGAATACTCAAAATGTGATATACATATACAACAGTTTATCCAGACGTAAAAATGAAATGCTGATATATACTACAACATGAATTAAACCTGAAAACAATTCATCAACAAAATAAGATAGGAAGGAAAGCAAATATTTTATTGTAAAAGGTACTTTAAATGTCAAATTCATAAATCAGAGCACACCAGAAGCAAAATAGAAATCAGACAGAAAAATGACAAAGTTCAGTTGGCCTTGGGCTGAAGAGATGTCTCACTAGTTAAAAGGGCTTGCTGTTCTTCCAGAGGACCTGAGTTCAATTCCCAGCACCCATATCCAGTGACTCATAATGGCTCCAGGAATCCATTGCCTTCTTTTGGAGTCCTACCTGCACATACATGGCATTAAACACAACACACACACACACACACACACACACACAGAAATTATGTTTTAAACTTCTGAAAAGTCCAGTGGGCCTGAAATTGTTGTTTGTGAAAACAATTAAGGCCATTAAATAGTATATTCTAACATGTTTCCAAAGTTAGTTTTTCAAAAAGTAAAGCCTTCTGGCCTAGGAGATTGTCTCAAGTGAAGGGTAGGTATCTAACATGCCTGAGGCCCTATATTCACATCAGCACTCAGAAAGCTGAGAAAAGAGGGTCAGGAATTCAAAGCCTACCTCAGAAACAGAGTTAGTTCAAGGTCAGGCTGAACTACATGAATCCTATCTCAAAAGAGGAAACCAATATACTGTGTGAAAAAAGTATTTTTGTGAATTTAAACAAAGAAAAAAATGAATGAAGATAGTTATGTTTTGGAGCTGGAGAAATGGCTCGGTGGTTAAGAAAGAGCACTGACTTCTCTTGTAGAGGACCCAGGTTCAATTCCCAGCAACCACATGGCACCTCACAATTGTTTAAAACTCCAGTTCCAGTGGATCAACCACCCTCACACAGACACACAAGCAGGCAAAGTACCAATTTGCATAAAAAGGTAATGATTGTATTATATTACAATGTTTTAAATGTGAATACAATAACATTAAAAATGAATTAAAGACTTTCTGCTAAAGGCAAAGAATAAGAAAGAACAAATGATTCTTTCAACAATAGCAAGAATTAAATAATAAAATGTAATTACTGAATGGAATACAAACAAAAATGGTGACCTTACTATGAAGTATAATATAATGGGTGAATAATAATTCAAACAAACAACAAATGCCATTATTACCTTATTTTCACTGGAGGAATCCTCTTGAACTTTAATCCGTCGTCTTTTCTTTTTCTGTTTATAACTCCGCTGATTTTCTTCCAATTCTGCTTTCTTTGCAGACCTTAAGAAAATTTTAAATGTAAAATAAAGTAAAATAAAATGCTTACTGATGAGTATTACTATTCTGGAAATACCATGCCAGGATCATGTATATGCTGGCACACATACTACAGCACTGAGCAGCATACATATGCCATGTTATTATTTTAGTAATAATAAAAGGCACAAATCATAAAATTAAGCATCTTAGCAATTTTAAGCATATACTTTAATAGTATTAATAACACTGACTTTTTCTGAACACCACTGCTCAAATGTATGGCATGCATATAGCATGCAGCAGACTGCGGGGTTTCATTCTCAGCACTACAAAATCAAAATCAAGCAATTAAAAACATTAACGAGGAGCTAGGACTGTAGCTTAGGTGGTAGAGCGCTGGCCTACAAAGCACAAAGCTCTAGGTCTAAGCCCTACCACAGAGTAAAATGGTGCTAGGAAACACCTGCCATCTCAGCACCCAAGAAGTGAAAATAAGAGTAACAATGGTTCAAGGTCATCCACAGGTACACAGAAACTCCAAGTCAGCAGCCCTGGCTATATAACACTGCCCAGCCACCCCCCTCCCTCCCGGCAAAAAAAAAAGGAAGAAAGGAGGGGCAGAAAAAGAGGAAGATCTGTCTGGGCCTGTACCTCATTGGTAGAATCATTGTCAAAAACACATAAAGCCCTGAGTTCAACCATCACCACTATTACAGACTAAATATAATTATCTGTTTTCTTAATTTTTATTAACATACATTAATTTGCACAATGTTAAGGGTTTCATAAACACATTTATTCCCTGTGTGTGTGTATAAGTGTGTGTGTGTGTGTGTGAGAGAGAGAGAGAGAGAGAGAGAGAGAGAGAGAGAGAGAGAAAGCACCAATGTGTAGCAGTTAAGAAAACTTGTAGGCATCAGTTCTCTCTTTGTATCAATTTATTTTCAAGGATAAGGCTTATCAGAAATTATCTTTACCCACTGAGCTTTCTCACTTTCAAAAATTAATTTCAAACGTGTGTGTGTGTGTGTGTGTGTGTGTGTGTGTGTGTGTAACTTTATTTGCAATCAATCATAGCCCTTCTTCAGAGGGAGGGGGCCAGAGTACATATGCAGGGAAACAAGAATAGCTTACCAGTATCAATTCTCTCCTTCCACCACATGGGTCCTAGAACAAGCTCAGGTCATCAAACTTAGCAGTAGGCAGCTTTACTGTCTGGGCCATCTCATTGGCCCAATTCCTAACCTTCTTTGCAAAATAAAGCAAAAGAGACATACAAACAAAAATATGTGTAATACTGACCTTGTTCTAGGCCGCTGTTCATCCTCAGATTCACTGACTTCTTCACTAACTCCTGACTCTTGAAAGTCAGTGTCTTCTGAATCCTCACTGCTCACTTGAATTTAGAAAGAAATGAGTAAATAGTTTTCAAAAGAAACAAAATCCATTTAGTCATTTCACATTAAAACACTAGAGAATTATATAAACACCAAAAGGAGAGAGACAGACAGAAAAAGAGAGAGTATATATTACTAAGAGAGTATATATTACATAAGATATACCAAATTCAAGTATTCAAGCCCACCATAGTGGCACACCTTTAATCCCAGCACTAGGGAGGCAGAGGCAGGTAGGATCTCTGTGAGTTTAAGGCCAACCTGGTCAATATAAGGAGTGCCAAGACAGCCCAGGATACATGGTAAAACCCTCTATCTCGAAAAAAAAGCAGACCAAAACATGATAAACCAGTTAATGATTCAAATGGTACAGGCTAAACAGCCTTAATCAGATCTGAAATGCACTAAAATCTGAAGTCTATGAATATCAACATATTCTATGAGTGAAAACATCTAAACTCATGTGCTAAGTTGCTACCAAAATGCAGGTGCACTGGGAATACTGCATAAGTACATGAGGCAGAGATGACAAATACATGAATTTTGTGCTAACAAGGATCCATTTCCCAAGATCTCATTATTTATATATCAATATTTCAAAAAAGGGAAAACGCACTAAACTAAAGCATTTTTGGTACGATGCATATTAGATAAGGTATACTAAACATGTATTTATAAATATAAAACTGTACATCAATATTAAAATGCAGGTGTTTAGTACTATATAAATTAACAAAATGAGAATTAGCCATACATATGTAAGTAATAATCAAAGGTAAATTAATGGAAGTAAGTCTGGGTACAAGTAAACAAGGCTGCTCAAGGTAAAATGATTATAAACTTTCTGCCAATGAAGATGATTAACAACCATGTGCAGGACACAGAAAGCCATGACCTAAGGATTCGAAAAGAGAAACAACAGCAGGCAGATTGCTGGTTGAAATCAAGACTGATATAATGACTCCTCTATAAAGAGGGAGACACAAGACAAGTCAGCTGTTGACTGCCATGGGTAATTTTCTTCCTTTGTCTGCTGTATTGCTTAAGTTGTTTGATTGGTTGGTTGTTGTTAAAGTTTTTTGTCAGCTTGACATAAGTAAAAATCACTTGGGGACTAAGAAGAGCAACTGAGAAAATGTCTCCAGTAGATTGGCCTGTGAGCAAGACAGTAGGGCATTTTCTTGATTCATGATTGATGTGCACTGGGGTAAAGGGGTGGTGATCAGCTCTGGGCAGGTGGTCCTGAATCGTAAAGCAGGATGAACAAGCCTTGACTAATAAGTCAGTAAGCAAATTGTTCTTGTTTGTCTATCGCCTCTGCTTGTGTTCCTGATCAATAATTAGGAACCAGCATTCCTCAGTAATTGAGTGACCTCAGAGTTCTAAGATGAAATAAACTTTTCCCCTAACATGATTTTAGTCATGGTGTTTATCACAGCATTAGAAACTTTAAGATATTCCTGGGTTTTTTTGTTTGTTTGGTTGGTTTGTTTGGTTTGGTTTTACGAGACAGGATTTATCTATAGCTTTGGAGCCTGTCCTGGAACTAATTCTTGTAGATCAGGCTGACCTCGACCTCAGAGATCCGCCTGCCTCTGCCTCCCGAGTGCTGGGAATTAAAGGTGTGCGCCACCATTGCCTAGCTAAAATATAAAATATTCCTGGTTTTAAGGTGTAAGATAGGCTGAATTCTAAAACTACAGAGACCATTAACGGCAAAACTGTTAAGAGTTTTCTAGTTATGCACTGGGACCAAACATGAGATCAGATATGTACAGATGCTCTCTTAGGAGAAGCGTTAAAGTGTCTGAACAGATATACTCAAATTTGAATATGAGAACTCATTCACAAAACAAGTATTTGCTTTAAAATCAAAATTAAAATGTCTTACCCTTCCTTCTATTTCTTCCTTTGGCTTCTTTATGTTCTTTAGGCTTTGTCTTTTTTTCTTCTCCGGATTCTCCATCACTCACCGCCAGTTTGTATCTCAAAAGTCTATGTCTGTATCTTGGCTTCTTAGATTCTTCGGAATCTGAATCTGATTCAGAATTGACTTGATCTGGGGCTTCTAAATGAAGAAAATATATCTAAAAAGCCCTCATCAACAGACTTTCTTTTAAGTACATTTTAAAATTATTCTCTCCATTCACAATTAGCACAATTTATGTACCTTAATACCACCACTGATAACAGGTAGTCATTTACCAGCCCCAGTTACCGACTATGGACTAACCATCACCAGTGTGTGACACTTTAAAATAAGAACTATTTTGTTTACATGTTTATTGACAGTAAGGGAAACAACGAGCATAACTTACACAATTATCGTAATGCATACAAATGATTTGTGATAATAAAGTTTCAAATATTTTTTAAACCCTCAAATGCATTTCCTGAGATTTCTTGGTCAGATAATCTTCACAGATTAAATGGCTAAGGAAATATACTATAAATCCAACATGGCAACTTCTCTGTGGGGAGCTCACCCTCATCTCCTGGTGTTTCTTCACTTTGTTTTCCAATTCTTTTTTTCTCTTCTTCAGGTTCATCATCTGAAGATCCATCCTCATCAGAGGAAATATTGGCTTTAATTTCTTCTAAAAGCATCTTCTTGGCAATTCTTGGGAGTAAAAAAATAAATAAATAAAAAACTGTATTTTGGGGGGTAAAGTACACCAAATTAAAATCAAATTCTCTGTATGAAAATAAAAATAAATATGGTCAAACAGACTTTATATTGCAAGTATGAGACAAGCCAAAAAAAAACATGTGTTAGCACAAGCTACCAATGAACACTCTTGAAAATGTTCACTGATCATTCCTCAATTCCACATAATTTTTTAATGTACTAAAAACTCTCAGGGATATAGTCTACTAAGTATTTTGACCAATCAAAAGTTGATGCTGCCATCCTCCAGTGACTACCATGTGAGATAGGCTAACAACAGTAAAATTCACTTATCCAGACAACAGAAGTTCAAATCTGCAGAGAAAGGGATACTTAACAGAAAACAAAATCTTAGAAAAGCAGTGAATAACAAACAATCTAATAGGAGACAGCACGTCAACTACAGGATAATATGTTTGGACCTTAATTTCACTTTTCTTCATAAAAAGGTTAACCAAAGTAACACCATTAATATTCGATACTGAAGCAACCATCAATCATTAGTATTAGTCAAGCTGGGGCATTGAAGGGGCATCAGTGCCACTTATAAGGTGAAAGAACGCGTATTATTATAACAGAATTTGAAGTTTCAGGAAAAATACAGAAAAATAGCTTTGCTCATACAATTTCTCAAGATGCTTCTCGAGACAAATTTGCTAATAGAAAAACTGCTTAATGAAGGCACACCTTTTACTAATATGAAAATACACTACTTGGTAATTTCAAACTTAAACTAAGAAAAATATCTGAAAGTGTAAAATAAAAGCAATAATGAAATTTTTGTACAAGTTATGGTCATGGATTGCTCTAGGTATCCTTTTGTAAATCACCGTAATTAATAAAAGAAAAGCTTATAGCAAGATCCTAAAACCTTGTCATGACTTAACATTTATGAGGTAAACAGCCATTCGGCAATCAAGACAGCCTGATTAAGTGAAAGTGGTATTCTTGTGACTACAGAACCTTTGTTTGGGTTATGTTTCATTAGTTTTTCGAAACGGAGTATCACTATATAACCCGAGCTGACCTTGAATTCAGAGAGGCCTGCCTCTGCCTCCCAAGTGCAAAAATTAAAGATATGTGCTACCAAACCTGGCCACGTTTGTTGTTTCAACCCTCTCTACCTTGCTTAGCATGATGTTTCACTTCAATAAAGAATTCCCTTCTTAGTAAGGAGCAGTAATATGTCAAGATCTCAGCTTTGACAGATAAAATGTTCGCTGCTATTTACATTGTAAGACGCAGATTAAACAGCTACAGAAATGTTCATTATATGCCATTTTGAACTATCTCCTTCACACAGATAGATCAGAAAACAACACAGAAAATCACCAGTAGATGAAGGAAGCCACGGATGACTATTTTTCTGATGGTTTCTGCTATGATTTTATAGACTAAATCATCTCAAATTAACTCTTTATAAGTTTAAGGAAGCAAGCTTTGCTCTTATACATAGGGATCAGTGTTTCTGGCTTGTAGGAAACATTTTATAAACAGTAGACTAAGGGGTGCAATATTGTATTTAGACAAGAAAAAATAACAAGTATCATTTACTTTCATCAGTTTATAAAGAGAATCCACTAATTCTTCCTCAAATTCATAAGCCATTACCAAATAAAGGAAAGTTCTTTAGAACTGAAAGAAAAGATCTTTTATAGAAGATGATTTCTAAAATCATTCTAAATACATACTAGATCAGTACTTCTCATCAACTAGGAAGAAAAATCTTTCTCAAGTTAAGCTAGGTAATAGAGTCTTTAAAAATGTGTCTATATATAAAACTTGTACATGACATGTTGGATGTTAGATTAGAGTCAGAAAACTGTATTTCACTAGAGGCTACAAGAAGATCTATAAAATCATTTGGGTAAGACAATACATTCTGAATCTTCTTACTCTAAATGTCAATGTAGTAACCTGACTTCTGGTTGTGACCACAAATTCAAAGAGCTTTAAAAGTTCATGCTAACTATAAAAACGTTAACTGTAAGCAATCACAGGATTTTTCCTCTTTCAAATTCTAGACTCTTAAGACTATGTCTAAGTGGGAAGTTAGAATATATAAATCTAACTAAAGTATTCACAAGATTTAGATTGTCAAATAACAAAGGAATATTAATGTAAACAGTGATACAATATGTTAAGTAATAAATTATACAATAAATCACTGAAAATGACAGCACAACCACGCATTAAAGAATTACAACTTGTCAACAACCTTCAGTAATGTTAAAGTATGGGAAACAATTATGGTCACTTTAGAAGCAGATAAACCACAAATTTCAGAGAATGGTCATTTTTCTCTAAATCACAAGTTAAATACAGAGTAGTGGAGACTTCTTAAGATTTTTAAGACTAGGGTTTAAGACTAGGGCATTTTCAAACTGCCCTGTAACATTATCTTACCAAAGTAAAATCTTATTTATAGCAAAGGATACTAAGGAAGTTGAATAATTTCACATAAATTATAGCTGATGGGGAACTAATGAGGTGGCAAAATGTTAAGCACACATACTGCTCTTCCATAGGACACAAGTTTAATGCCAAGCACCGGCATGATCAGGAAGCTCACAACGTTCTGTAACTCCAACACTTGGGGTAATCAACATCCCTGGCCTCTGTGGGCACCTGCACAGTTGGTACATATACCCACACATAAACTTAGAGATAAAAATAAATTTAAAAAGCTAAATGATTGATGGTTCAAGCCTCATGTCAAAGAATGACTGTTATAATCCTAACATAAATTCTGCTACATCAGAAAATTATAATTCAAAGGACCTAAGGGCTAAGACCAAACTTCAATATGAACAGAAAGCATGCTGAGGTGAAATGTGTCCGACCTACAAAGCCAACAGTGAGCCACTTTAGGGAAACTCCACTACCTTAACTCTGGAGTCATGAGCCACAGAGACATCACTTGAGAACCAGCTGAGGCTGGCAAAGCATCATTTGAGGCCTCAGCTGGACCCATGCTGGTATGCATGTGATGGATGTATAGTCATGTTCCCTAGTTGATTCTGTTTGCTCTGAAGTTCCTTTCTTGAGGCTTTCCAGGATGTTTCTGAGAAATTCATCTAGGCAACAAGGTGCCGCCTGGAATCTCAATGATCAAAATTATACCATGGGACCAAGTAGAGCATTCAAAGCAGTCAGGACTCTTATCGGAAGCATTAAAGGCACAGGCTGTGCCATTCTTGTGGCAGTATACCCAGGCAGAGCCTGATGTAATAAGAGCCTCCATTTTCCTGAAAGGGAGGGAAAGAAGAGTGTAGAAAGAAAAACAATATGGAGGGAGGGTATAGTCCCACAAACAATGAACAGGATGATGCATAAGATAGGACCCCCAAGTCCATACAAACAAAGACTTCTAAATTACACAGCAAATGCTAAGATAATATTTTATTACACCTCATCTACTAAAATAAGCAAAAATGAAAAGAAATGAGCCTGATGACACAAAAAAGCACTCAGAAAAACAAAATTAGAAAGTAAAAAAATCTGTTAGAAATTGTGATCTGAAAAATAAGTGAGTAATGAATGCCTCGGTAAAGCGCTTAAACAGGAAAAAAAACTGCCTCCTGCTGATATGTAAATCAATAATTCAAAAAAAGTGAATTTCTCTACAAGGAACTATCTGGATGGATCGCCAGTACCAGAACACTTTAGAAAAAGCTATAACAAAAATAACACAAAATGTTATATATAACCAGAAGTCAAGAACATACATTCTGGTGAGAGACAGCAAATGACAATGCTAATGAATACCAGGACAAACACATCAAAGTCATTCCAAAAGACAACTATATATGCATTCATATGCATATAAATGCAATTCACAGTCAATTTTTATGTCTTTACAATTCAAAGAATCAAAGTTTTCTTTTTTGAAAAAAAGAGCTCTAAATATAAACATGTCAGTATGTTTTTATATCTACAATAGAGTAAAATGACATCACGTAATACATCCTACAACTACAATTTTACTATTTAAGAAGCTCTAAAACAAAAAGAAAAAAAACTTCTCAACTTAAAATTACATTTTTGAAAGGGTAATAAATTAACAAAGTTTATTAAGAATTGTTGTTCTACAATCTGCATAAAGTGCAACAATGGAATATATGGCTGTTAGATAATGTTCTTGTATCCTGCAAAGATTTGTCACTTATATTGGTTTAATAAAACACTAATTGGCCAGTAGCCAGGCAAGAAGTTTAGGCGGGGTGACCATACTAGGAGAAATCTGGGAAGAGAAAAAGGCTCAGTCTGCAGTCACCAACCAGACACAGAGGAAAGAAGATGCTGCACTGAGAAAAGGTACCAAGCCAAGTAGTTAACAAAGACAAGAATTATGGGTGAATCTAAGTTGTAAGAGCTAGTTAATAATAAGCCTGAGCTAATAGGCCAAACAGTTAATTATTATTACAAGCCTCTGTGTGTTTCTTGGGGACTGAATGGCTACCGGACCAGGCAGGACAGAAACTCTGTCTAAAATATACAGCTAACAAAATAGATCATTGGCTTAAATGTATTTTATTTAGATGACATAGTTTCTGAGTATACATAACATAAAGCACACATTATACTTTCCAAGTTTATTTGTAAAACAATTACAGGGTGAAAAGTTAAGGAATGTTCACTATTTTCAGTGAGAAAAGAAGAGTAAATACATATTTTACAGCAGAGTATAAGGCATTATTTTAATCACTGTCATTTACTTCAAAGATTAAAGTTTTATACTTATTATAGAAATTTTTAAACTTTATACTAGTATATTATTTTAATACAACTTCAAAATTCCTTAATGTGAAGTTTTCTATCAAAAAAGTAAATAAGCCATGATGATCTATACCCCAAAATGATAAGAGTTCATAGGAATTCAGTAAATAATCAAAAGATAAACAACAGCTTCATCCAATCACTTCTTCAATCAAATGTCCTATAACGTCTGT